TATACACATATACACACATATATACACATATACACATATACACACACATATACACATATACACATATACACATATACACATATACACATATACACATATACACATATACACATATACACATATACACATATACACATATACACATATACACATATACATATATACACATATACACACATACACACACATACACATACACATATACACACACATACACATATACACACATACATATACACACATATACACACATACACTTCAATGCAAGCAGCGAACATCCCCTAGGTGCTCCTTAAAGGCAAAGTGGGTTAAGTGTCTTGCCCAAGGACACAACGACAGCAGTCATCAGTGGAAGTTAGTGAAGTAGGTCTCATGGTGGACTCGAACCCACAACCTTCAGGCTCAAAGGCCAATGCTCTAACAACTGAGCCACTGTCACTGTGCATATATATAAAAATATGTAAATATGTGACATCAGCACAGGGCGACTGCAGACCCCTGTGGACACAAGCAGTTTAAAGGGTTTAAATGAGGGTCAAAGCTGCATTTTTCATTCATGAAAACTGTTCGGTTGTTCCAAAATCTTGTCAAACAAACAGCAGAGCTTAGGTCATCTGGAAGAGTAAATATAATTAAACACAATATTATATTAAATGAAAACACTTTGGAAACACATTCTTAATATGCTGCAGTTCTTTATTATTGTTTTGTTTATTGCATTATGCGTCTGATGTTTGCTCGGTTGTAAGTCTTCGTCAGGAGAATCTAAAGTGTGTGCAGAGAGGGAGGTCTGGGCTTTATCCACCGCCCTCTTCTCTGCCCCGCCCCCTGAGTGTGTTAGCTTAAACAAGAGGCTAACACTACAGTGACGTTCTTCTTCTTCTCGTTTTGATCTTTGGTGTCTACATCTCTGTCAGTCTGTAGTAGATCGGTTTTCAGGGCCTCGTTCTCGGCTTTGGACTCTTTCAGTTTTGGTTTTAGTCTCTGCAAGTTCACCCTCATTCTTCAGGGGTTGAACTGCGTCTTCCATGTGGCATTTCTTTGATTTTGTGTAGTAATCTCTTGGTTCTGGATCTTCTGCTGCTTGGCAAAGTCTGAAGAGTTTGTGGAAAGGAAAGTCTGGGCTTTATCCATCATCACTTGGCAATGGATGAAGCGGAAGACAGGGATGGATGGAAGTAGTGGCTAGAACATGGTTAGATTGAATCATTCATTGATCTAAACCATCATCCCAAAGTATCGTGGCTAGATCAGAGACGTTTCCTCTTTCATTGGCGCAGGTTTCTTGTAAATGCACAGACGGCCTTACCCTGCACGCCTGAAAGAGGAAAACCGTCTCTCATCTCTCCATAAACTTTGGTTTGGTGACTTTAGACCATGTTTGAGTCAATCTAATCTACAGTTCTAACCCCCCACTTCCGCTCCTCTCTGCCCCCGCCCCCTGAGTGTGTCGCACCTCAACCCGTTAGCTTAAACGAGTCAAGATGCTAACACTTCCGCGATGTTCGGAGGTGATTACTCCCAACACTTCCACCACCTCCTCTTCTTCTTCTTGTCTTGCTCTTCCTTGTTTTGGTCTTTGGTCTCTGCGTCTCCGTCAGATTCTTGTAGACGGGTTTTCAGGGCCTCATTCTCGGCTTCAGACTCTTTCAGTTTTCTTTTTGTCTCTTCAAGTTCATCCACAATCTTCATGTTTTTAAGCGCCTCTTCGATGCGGTAGTTCTCCAACTCGTCCAGTTGCTGCTCGAGATCCTTCTTGGACTTTGCGAGTTCAGATTCCAGTTTCATATTTGTTTCCTCAGCTTCTAAATGTTGCTGCTCTGCTTCGTCCAGTTGTTCTTGCAGAAAAACGGTGGCGTTCTCGATGTCCTCAACCTGCATCTTCATATAAATGTTTTTCTCATAGAGGCCTCCCACGTATTCGTTGACCTTGATGCGAGCCTCTTGAACCAAATCCTTGAACTCCTTGTCCTTTTTCTTGAGCAGGTCCTTCCCAAAGTCGATGAGGGCGTCTCTTTGCTCCAAGAACCCCTTCAGTTCATCTACTTTTCTCTGCAGGGAATTCCTCTCTAGAACTCTGTGTATAAGTCCCAGTTCCTGCTGCTTCAGTTCCTGTTTCATCTTGGTCATTTCTGCCTCGAGTTTCACATTTCGAATCTCGTTTTGCAGATGTTGCTGGTCTGCTTGGTCCAGCTGGTCCTGCAGATAGACCTGGTTTTCCTCCAAGTCCTCACAGCGATCCTGAAGGTCCATCTTGTCCTTCAAGAGGTTCCACACGTAGGCGTTGACCTCGTTGCGGACCTCCCGAGCCAGATCCTGGGCCGCTTTGTCCATTTTCTGGAGCAGATCTTTACCAAAGTCGATCGGGGCGTCTCGTTGCTCCAAGACCTCCTGGAGCTCATTGACTTTGGCGTCTCGCTCGTGGATCGTCTGCTCCAGCTCCTTCAGTCTCTGCTTCTGTTCAGCGTTGACTTTCAGCTGCTCTTCCAGGGTTTTCTCGACCTGAAGAAGGCGAGATATATCTTCGTGAACATCCATGATCTCTTTGTTACCGTTTACCTCGGTGTGTGCGTAGCTAGTGCTAATCTCAACTTGTCTCGTGTACTCTCTGGGTCTGCGTTCTGTGGTAACCCTAAACCCACTTTGGTGAATCTGGGGATGACATCACTGTGTTCCAAATCCAGGGTTCGCCATGGCAACGGAGTCCTTTGCAGATCAGATAAGACGTTTACAGTGTTGCCATGGATACAGGCCCCAAGGTTTTCAGAGCCCATATTTACTTCCTTGCTCAGTTTCATATTTAACTTTCTAATGCCTTTATAGTTTGAAGAATGAATAAAAAACAGAACAAAGTCATTTTATCCACAAATTGATTTTACGCTGCATCAAAAACATTGACACTTTTTTATAGAATTTCATCTTTATACTTTGGTTTCTGTCTTTGTGAATCTTTTTTTCTATTTTTTGGCAAGACTGTTTTCTGTCTGGGACCTGCAAATGTTTTTTGTTTATCCTAGAATGACACGTATTTACAGTATATTTGCCCCTTTGAAAACCCGTATCAGGGAAGAGGTCAGTCACTTTGTTTTTTATGTCTCAAAATGTCCATTTTAATTGTAGCTTTGTTGTCATTTACGTTTTTTTGTCTTTTTAGTTTGGGCTGTGAGTGATGCAGAGGCACATGTTCATTGTTTTTGGTTTTTATTGACCAGGTATGTACAGTGCCTTGCGAAAGTACTCGGCCCCTTGAACCTTTCGCCACATTTCAGGCTGTTTGACCAGATAAAAGAACGCCTCCGCACCACACAACGACACAACACAACGCAGAGCAGAGAAAATCAGACCCGTTACACCTGTACTCCTCAGAGTCCCAGCAGGAGGCCAGTCCCTGTACTCCTCAGAGTCCCAGCAGGAGGCCAAGTCCCTGTGGTCCTCAGAGTCCCAGCAGGAGGCCAAGTCCCTGTGCTCCTCAGAGTCCCAGCAGGAGGCCAAGTCCCTGTGCTCCTCAGAGTCCCAGCAGGAGGCCAGTCCCTGTGCTCCTCAGAGTCCCAGCAGGAGGCCAAGTCCCTGTGCTCCTCAGAGTCCCAGCAGGAGGCCAAGTCCCTGTGCTCCTCAGATTCCCAGCAGGAGGCCAGTCCCTGTGCTCCTCAGAGTCCCAGCAGGAGGCCAGTCCCTGTGCTCCTCAGAGTCCCAGCAGGAGGCCAAGTCCCTGTGCTCCTCAGAGTCCCAGCAGGAGGCTAAGTCCCTGTGCTCCTCAGAGTCCCAGCAGGAGGCCAAGTCCCTGTGCTCCTCAGAGTCCCAGCAGGAGGCCAAGTCCCTGTGCTCCTCAGATTCCCAGCAGGAGGCCAAGTCCCTGTGCTCCTAAGATTCCCAGCAGGAGGCCAGTCCCTGTGCTCCTTCAGGCCAGTTTTTATTGTTTTTTTGTCTTGAATATATCGGATCTGACCTTTTCTTCATTTACATGTTTTGAATTGTTAATGACAAATCCAAACATTTGAATGAGCTTCGACAGAACAGAAATAATATGTTCCAATGGTTTCAGACTAACAGGAAGAAAGTGGGCTCAACAAAACCCAGGGAAGTGCTCATGGACAGAGTCTGGCTCCTATTGACTTCCATGTCAAATTAAACTCCTCGAGCTCTCTTCTTGTGTCACTCTCAATATACATGGGTTTTCCTGATTACACACACACACACATACAGACGCACACTCACACACACACACGCACGCATACACACACTCGCACACACAAAGACTCACACACGCACACACACAGACACACACACACAGACTGACTCACACAATTACACACACACACACCGCCTCACACAGACACGCACACATGCACGCACACACACGCACACAGACACACACACACACAGACACACGCACACAGACACACACACCCACACACGCACACAGACACACACAGACACACACACACACACACACAGACATACACAGACAGACACACACCCACACACACACACACACACAGACGAACACAGACACACACACGCACACAGACACACACAGACACACACGCACACACACAGACACACACACACAGACACACGCACACAGACACACACACCCACACACGCACACAGACACACACAGACACACACACGCACACAGACATACACAGACAGACACACACCCACACACAGACACACACACAGACGAACACAGACACACACACGCACACAGACACACACAGACACACACGCACACACACAGACACACACACGCACACAGACATACACAGACAGACACACACCCACACACAGACGCACACAGACATACACACACCCACACACAGACACACACACACACACACACACACACAGGACAATGGTTTTGACTCAATTTGCAAGTCACTTTGATTTGTTTATTCAGACACAGCTTTGAATGCACGTGGGAGAAGCGTCCGTCAGAAGTGTGACCACAGAGAGAGGTTTACACAGGATCACGTACCATCAATCCAAAGTCCACAGAAATGGATGCTTTGATCTTCACATTCCTGCTTTATGGTGAGTGTAGTGTCTGCTGGTACTACATAGTTCTATTTATATGTGTCTCCAACTGCTGAGACTGATGTCTCTGATGACTCTTGATGACTCTTGATGACTCGGATGTCTCTGATGTCTCTGATGTCTCTGTCTCTGATGTCTCTGATGTCTCTGATGTCTCTGATGACTCTGATGTCTCTGATGTCTCTGATGACTCTGATGACTCTGATGTCTCTGATGACTCGGATGTCTCTGATGTCTCTGATGTCTCTGATGTCTCTGATGTCTCTGATGACTCTGATGTCTCTGATGACTCTGATGTCTCTGATGACTCTGATGACTCTGATGTCTCTGATGACTCTGATGTCTCTGATGTCTCTGATGACTCTGATGACTCTGATGACTCTGATGTCTCTGATGACTCTGATGACTCTGATGACTCTGATGTCTCTGATGACTCTGATGACTCTGATGTCTCTGATGACTCTGATGTCTCTGATGACTCTGATGACTCTGATGTCTCTGATGACTCTGATGTCTCTGATGACTCTGATGACTCTGATGACTCTGATGTCTCTGATGACTCTGATGTCTCTGATGACTCTGATGACTCTGATGTCTCTGATGACTCTGATGACTCTGATGTCTCTGATGTCTCTGATGACTCTGATGTCTCTGATGTCTCTGATGACTCTGATGACTCTGATGACTCTGATGACTCTGATGTCTCTGATGACTCTGATGACTCTGATGTCTCTGATGACTCTGATGTCTCTGATGACTCTGATGACTCTGATGTCTCTGATGACTCTGATGTCTCTGATGACTCTGATGACTCTGATGACTCTGATGTCTCTGATGACTCTGATGTCTCTGATGACTCTGATGACTCTGATGTCTCTGATGACTCTGATGACTCTGATGTCTCTGATGTCTCTGATGACTCTGATGACTCTGATGACTCTGATGACTCTGATGACTCTGGTGACTCTGATGTCTGTTCGTTTGGATGGATGCTGCTGCATTACTCCTACTGGGATCAATAAAATATATCCATCCATCCATCCATTCTGACATCTACATATATATACAGTATATACCACATATATACAGTATATACCACATATATATACAGTATATACCACATATATACAGTATATACCACATATATACAGTATATACCACATATATACAGTATATACCACATAAGGACGTTATTGACAGGGGCTGGTGCTCTGTGACTGGGTGCAGCTCTGACTGCCACCCCCCCGACCCAGAAATGGATTAAGGGGAAGAAAATGGATGGATGGATGGACATTATTGACCACAAAGAAAACATCTCATCTCTGTCACTTGTTCTTTTGTGTGTCAGGTTTGAAGGCGGCGTCTTCCTTCCACGCCGCCATCTATGAATACCACGCCATCGACACACAAAAGACTTGGTACGACGCACAACAACACTGCAGGACGCACTACACCGACCTGGCCACGTTCCGAAACATGGAGGACATAGAGCGTTTCCAAAGACCCGCCTCCTTCACTGGGAACGCCTGGATCGGGCTTTTCGATGACCCCGCCTCCTGGAAGCGCGTGATGGGGAACGAGTCCAACTCCTGGAGATGGTCTTCCACTGGGACCACCAGCCCCGGGGGGTACCAGAACTGGTTATCGTCAGAACCGGACCATCATGGTGCCACTAACTATTGTGGATTGATACGGGACGGACTGTGGGGCGACGGGGGGTGTACGAGCCAGCTCCCGTTTGTTTGTTTTACAGGTAAGACCTTCACTGGCTTTGAATAGAACCATGTGAACGGAGGAGTCCAAACTCTGAAATCCAAAAATATAAATTATGTAAGGATGAAACACAAAAGGACAAAATCCAAAATCATCAAGGTCTCTCTCTGGTCTCTCTTTGGACTCTCTCTGGTCTGGTCTCGAGTCTCTCTTTGGTCTCTCTTTCTAGTATCTCGCTGGTCTCTGTCCTTTCTCTCTGGTCTCTCCTCAGGCTCTCTCTGGTCTCTCTACAGTCTCTCTCCAGTCTCTCTCTTTGGTCTCTTTCTGGTCTCTCTCTGGTCTCTCTCTGTCTGGTCTCTCTGCAGTCTCTCTCCAGTCTCTCTCTTTGGTCTCTTTCTGGTCTCTCTCTGGTCTCTCTCTGTCTGGTCTCTCTGCAGTCTCTCTCCAGTCTATTTCTGGTCTCTCTCTGGTCTTTCTCTCTGGTCTCTCTCTGGTCTTTCTTTCTGGTCTCTCTACAGTCTCTCTCTTTGGTCTTTCTCTGGTCTCTCTCCAGTCTTACCCCAGTCTCTTTCTGGTCTTTCTCTGGTCTCTCTCTCTCTGATCTCAACTTCCCTATGGTCCTGTTTTCTCAGAGTCCCCAGATGGTTCCAGACACTTCACTCTGGTCTCTGCTGGGAAGACCTGGTCCGCTGCTCAGACTCACTGCAGACAGTACTTCACAGACCTGGCCACAATCCGGAACGAGGCCGAAAACGCCGCCGTGGCGTCAGTTCTGGTCGCGAGCCAATGGACGTGGTTTGGTTTGTACAGACGGCCCTGGCGCTGGTCCGACGGCAGCACCAGCCCGTTCAGACGCTGGTTACCAGGGCAACCCAACAATGGCAACGGAAACCAACACTGCGTTTGGGAATCGGACGCTCGATACTGGAACGATATGCCGTGTTCGAACCTGCAGCCGTTTGTCTGCGCTAAAGGTGAGTGAGAGTCACGGCGACGTTAGCTTTGCCGCAACAGTGGCCAAAGGTGAGTGAGAGTCACGGCAACGTTAGCTTAGCCGTGACAGTGGCTAAAGGTGAGCGAGAGTCACGGCGACGTTAGCTTTGCCGCAACAGTGGCTAAAGGTGAGCGAGAGTCACGGCGACGTTAGCTTAGCCGTGACAGTGGCTAAAGGTGAGCGAGAGTCACGGCGACGTTAGCTTAGCCGTGACAGTGGCTAAAGGTGAGCGAGAGTCACGGCGACGTTAGCTTAGCCGTGACAGTGGCTAAAGGTGAGCGAGAGTCACGGCGACGTTAGCTTAGCCGTGACAGTGGCTAAAGGTGAGCGAGAGTCACGGCGACGTTAGCTTAGCCGTGACAGTGGCTAAAGAGCTGTGACAGTGGCTAAAGGTGAGCGAGAGTCACTGCGGCGTTAGCTTAGAAGCAAAAGGTCTCATGGTTTCACTTCCGGGTAATCGATTGACGCGGAAATGTATGAAATACAGTATATATAAAAAAGGTTAATTGTTGCATTTTCTAGTTCCCAAATCCGGTCATTATAAAATATATATATATATATATATATATATATATATATATATATATATATGTATCATAAGCAATGAAAAAATGGTCATTTTTGGATATTGCTGTGTGCCTGAAAATGCAAAATAGCCTTTTTTCAGTTTTCCATTTCCCTTCAAAAATAGAAAATGTATTGAATGCAAACGTACACGGATCCATGAAACAACCCTTGTTCAGCTCCAAATCAAAAGAAAGAAAAACAAAAACATGAAATTACATAAAAAATATGATAATAATCAATACTAATGATTTAAAAAAAAAAAGTCAATCCCTCTCGGCGTCAGGAAGTTAAAGGGTTGCCATGACGACCAATGACAAAAGGGCTGCCAAGTTGTCTTGAATTTAGAATCAAAGCTTTTATAGTTTTAAATGTGTTTTTGTCGTTTCCAGCTTTAAAAACGGCGACTCATCAGTTTCGTGTCCGACTCTGGTCGGACGTCGCTCTCTCCAACCCAACCTTCACTTTGGCCTCAACACAAAAGGTTTTCTCCTAAAAACATCTGTGATTGTGTGTTTAAAGTGTGTGATTGTGTGTTTAAAGCCTGTTATTGTGTGTGGTTGTGTGTTTAAAGCCTGTGATTGTGTGTTTAAAGCCTGTGATTGTGTGTTTAAAGTGTGTGATTGTGTGTTTAAAGCCTGTGATTGTGTGTTTAAAGCCTGTGATTGTGTCTTTAAAGTCTGTGATTGTGTGTTTAAAGCCTGTGATTGTGTGTTTAAAGTGTGTGTTTGTTTGTGTTTAAAGCCGGCCAGAGTTCTTCAGGACAATGGAGTCACTAATACAAACGTCAGATGGAAGAGTTCACCTCAGAGAGTCCAGAAGGAAGAAGAACAAGAACACACAGGATGTACATGATTCTACCCTACCCTACTCTACCCTACATTACTCTACTCTACTCTACTCTACTCTACCCTACCCTACATTACTCTACTCTACTCTACTCTACCCTACATTACTCCACTCTACTCTACTCTACTCTACTCTACCCTACCCTACATTACTCTACTCTACTCTACCCTACCCTACATTACTCTACTCTACTCTACTCTACTCTACCCTACCCTACATTACTCTACTCTACTCTACTCTACCCTACCCTACATTACTCTACTCTACTCTACCCTACCCTACATTACTCTACTCTACTCTACCCTACATTACTCTACTCTACTCTACTCTACCCTACTCTACCCTACCCTACTCTACCCTACATTACTCTACTCTACTCTACTCTACTCTACTCTACTTTACTCTGTTCTGTTCTACTCTACTCTATTCTACTCTACTCTATTCTACTCTACCCTACATTACTCTACTCTACCCTACCCTACATTACCCTACATTACTCTACTCTACTCTACTCTACTCTACCCTACCCTACATTACTCTATACTCTACTCTACCCTACACTACTCTACTCTACTCTACTCTACTCTACCCTACATTACTCTACTCTACTCTACCCTACCCTACATTACTCTACTCTACTCTACCCTACATTACTCTACTCTACTCTACTCTACTCTACCCTACTCTACCCTACATTACCCTACTCTACTCTACCCTACCCTACCCTACACTACTCTACTCTACTCTACTCTACTCTACTCTACTCTACGCTACCCTACTCTACTCTACTCTACTCTACTCTACTCTATTTGGTTTCTTTTCCATTACACATTATCTTTTACTTTGTTTCCATGGGTTTATATTAGTGCTGTGATGAATCGCATTCATGTCATATGCTGCTTTACGTTATGGCATGGCATGGTATGGTATGGTGCTTTTCCATTACAAATGGTCCCTCCATGTTTCTCCTCAGCGTGGGAGGGTTGTCAGACCACGGCTTTTCCGCTCGGCGCGTCACTAGTAACATTGGTCTGATTTGTGTTTTGAAATGAAATGTTCAAACCTAACTTAGTTATTTAAAAGACATGTTTACTGTAAATCTAAGTATCAACTCGAAGGAGAAGTAAAAAAGGAATATAGGATAAAAATCATTTGCCTAAACATTTATTTTGCTCTTGTGTTTTGATCAGAAATAAAACTTTGGTATTCAGTAAATGTCTCCGTCCTTGTTCATAAATGTACCACGGTTATACGGATTTACCGTCAAATATAATGTATGTAGTAAAAGTACATAAGTATATGGAGGAAATGGAAACTTTTGAACCCTTTTCTGCAGTGTACAGACAAATGAATGAAACAAAGTCCTGACACAATCACAGATTTATTAAAAACAAAAGTAAAGAGCAAAACCAACAGTTTACAAAGTCCAAAGTACGTCTGAGACCAGGTCCAGACCAGGTCCAGACCAGGTCCAGACCAGGTCCAGACCAGGTCCAGATGAGGAGAATGTCTCTGGTCACTCACTGCTCGTTGGTAATCTCCATCTCCTCCTATGTATGTATAAAAAAATAAAAAAATTCTCACCTTTGGCCCTCCGCGGGCGGTTATCCCTCTCTAAGCTCGGGTCCTCTACCAGAGGCCTGGGAGCTTGAGGGTTCTGCGCAGTATCTTTGCTGTTCCTAGCACTGCACATTTCTGGACCCAGATGTCCGAGGTTGTTCCGGGGATCCGCTGTAACCTCTTCTAGCTTCGGGGTCACTGCCCCGAGTGCACCGATCACCACGGGCACTACTGTCACCTTTACCCTCCAGGCCCTCTCACTACTGTGACCTTTACCCTCCAGGCCCTCTCACTACTGTCACCTTTACCCTCCAGGCCCTCTCCAGCTCCTCTCTGAGACCTTGGTATTTCCTTTTTCCTGATGTTACCATCGCTTGGAATTGCCACGTCCACCACCACGGCTGTCCTCTGCCCTTTGTCCACCACCACGGCTGTCCTCTGCCCTTTGTCCACCACCACGGCTGTCCTCTGCCCTTTGTCCACCACCACGGCTGTCCTCTGCCCTTTGTCCACCACCACGACTGTCCTCTGCCCTTTGTCCACCACCACGGCTGTCCTCTGCCCTTTGTCCACCACCACGGCTGTCCTCTGCCCTTTGTCCACCACCACGGCTGTCCTCTGCCCTTTGTCCACCACCACGGCTGTCCTCTGCCCTTTGTCCACCACCACGGCTGTCCTCTGCCCTTTGTCTACCACCACGGCTGTCCTCTGCCCTTTGTCCACCACCACGGCTGTCCTCTGCCCTTTGTCCACCACCACGGCTGTCCTCTGCCCTTTGTCCACCACCACGGCTGTCCTCTGCCCTTTGTCCACCACCACGGCTGTCCTCTGCCCTTTGTCTACCACCACGGCTGTCCTCTGCCCTTTGTCCACCACCACGGCTGTCCTCTGCCCTTTGTCTACCACCACAATGTCAGGTTGGTTCATTACCATTCGGTCGGTCTGTATCTGGAAGTCCCACAGGATCTTTGCACGCTCATTCTCCACCACCTTTGGAGGAGTTTCTTAGACCTTGGGGTTTCCAGCCCATACTCTGCACAGATGTTTCTGTACACTATGCCAGGTAAGTGTGAGAAAAAAGTCAATTCCGGATCCCGCCCAATCTCTGAAGCTAAGCAGGACAGGTCCTGGTTAGTATTGTGAAGGGAGACCTCTGGGAACACCAGGTGCCACAGTAGCGCGGCGGCGGCTGTGTCCTTATAGTTAAGACACCTGGTTACACATGGTAATGGTGGTGGGAGGGGCTGCTGGAGGGATGTGTCTTTGAGGGTCCGAACAGGTCAAACATCATGGAGTAGGTCCATCTGATCCCTGACTGCTGTACACTCTGTCCTACTTTGTTTTGAATTTGAATTCATTTGAATTTCCCGGGACCAGCAAGTTCCAGTTCAACCAGAACCAAGAAGAGGCTGGTATTAGTAAGTACTCTATCTTTCTTGTTTAAAGATTCTCTACAGCAGAAACACGTAGATGATGCATTTCTTTTGTTCAAACACTAATCTAAATGTGTGTCTTTTTGCAGAAAAGTACAATCGATACAATTTCAAAGGATTACTTTGAAATGGACGTCTTCAAAGCTTCGTTTTGCTTCATCTATGGTAAGACACCAGTTATGTTAGCCACAATGGACCATTTCATTTCATTTCATTTTATTTATTAGGCAGGAAAGATTTAAAACAAAATCGGGCCTGGCTCAGTACAAACTGATTTTCAGCAGGTTCCTGCTCTGCAGAACACACAAACACAGCATTAACATCACCACTCGACACAAAACATACTGTCACACATAAAAGAAGGAACACACTGGTGTGAGGCTATAGTGTCCGTCACTAGTGGTCACAACGATAGCTGTCCGTCAGATGTTTCAGCATAGTCTTTTTAAAAGGTCCAGGTGACTGTATGGTTCTTATGGTGAGGGGGATCTTGTTCCAGGCCCTGGTGAGCTCACAGAAGAATGAATTTTGTCCGTAGGTGTTCCTGTGGTGAGGTATGGGTAAGATTTGGTTTGTGGTGGATCTGGTTGAACGCTCGGATCGAGAGCTGGGTCTTGGAACCAGAACAGACAGTGAGGCCGATGGGCAGTTGTTGAGCAGGTGGGAGTAGAGCTTAATCCCATGGCTCAGGGCGTAGTTCTGGAAAGTCAAGGCCCCAGACTGTGATAGAGCAGTGCAGTGGTGGGTCCAACCAGGGAGCCTGTGGTGGATCTTATATGCTCTATTGTAGAGTCTCGCCACAGGTTCTAGTATTTCCTTAGTTGTGAGCGTCCACACTGGGAGACAGTAGGACAGGGTAGAGAGTATGATGGCATGCAGGTATGTCCTTGAGACGGGTAATGACAAACATGCTCTGATCTTACCATACACAAACAGTTTTTGGTTTAACTTTTTGGTGAGGTTTGTATGTGTTTGTATGTTAGCCACAATAGTTTGTATGTTAGCCACAATGGACCATAGTTTGTATGTTAGCCACAATGGACCATAGTTTGTATGTTAGCCACAATGGACCATAGTTTGTATGTTAGCCACAATGGACCATAGTTTGTATGTTAGCCACAATGGACCATAGTTTGTATGTTAGCCACAATGGACCATAGTTTGCTTTGAAAAATTATAATTTTAACAACAATATTGAGTCTACTACCACAGAAGTACAATACTGCAGCATTAGCCTGACATTGGCTTTTTTAGAATCAAATCAAATAATTCTTGTTTTGCCAAAATCACAACATCGATTTGAGGGGCTTCACAGAACGACCAATGGCCCGGGCGTATTTTTCACATGTTTTATGGTTCTCCATGCGGTTAGCAGAAGCACATTCTGTAGAGGATCAGGATGTCTGCAGTTTGTTTCACTCGTACTTTGACTCCACAGCGTTCCGGATGGTCCTGGGCTTCCATGAGGTCTACATGGAATACCACTTCATCAGCAAGAAAATGACCTGGGCAGTTTGATGACCCTGTTTCATGGAAAGGAGTGATGGCTGATGACTCCAACTCGTGGTCATGGTCTTCCACTGGGACCACCAGCCCTGGAGGGTTCCAGGCCTGGGGAAAGGACGAGCCCAACAACTATGCCTGCAACAACAACTGTGTACATATCACAGGCAGCGCATGGATAGATGCGGCCTGCACACAGGAACTTTCATCTATTTGCTTTACAGGTAACAGCCTTGGAAGGTCTTTGAAAATAAATCAATGTTTTTAGAAAGTCATGGATAAAGATTGCAATAAGTGGAGAATACAATGCTAACCCACAACCCAAATGAAATCATGGATGTATTATGTCATATATCAGTATGTTACTCAAATTCACAAAGAGAAATGCATGTGTCCAGTAGCAGCAGAAACAAATAAATAGATAATTATACAAGTATCTAACAATAGTTTTAAAACACAGCAGTCCTTCAGGTCACAGCAGCAGGTGGAGCTCGGTTCAGAACATTTTCTCTGCTCTGGTCCAAAGTAAAATGCTACATGCTTCATTAGCATTTTTCATAAAGTTATCATTCCTCCAGTGGATTTTCCCCTTATCCACTTGGTTCGGACCATGAATCCTCTCTGCTCTGGTCTGGACCAGTGTAAAACCATGAATCCTCTCTGCTCTGGTCTGGACCAGTGTAAAACCATGAATCCTCTCTGCTCTGGTCTGGACCAGTGTAAAACCATGAATCCTCTCTGCTCTGGTCTGGACCAGTGTAAAACCATGAATCCTCTCTGCTCTGGTCTGGACCAGTGTAAAACCATGAACACTGTACTGCATCATCTCAGGCAGACAAAAGCAAAAAAACATTAAAACACGAAACAGCTGTTTCAGAGCGACTGAGGACTTACCATTTCCTCAAATCTAACCTGAGGAAATGGGTGGAGTCTGGTGTGTTCCTGCTCAGGTTTGACGCCTCTGGGCTAAAGCATCATACAAATTGGAATTCTTGAATTTTCAGTGTCACCTAAGTCTGGCTCAAAAGAGTTCATCTTTGTCGCTTCTGAAAAGACCTGGAAAGATGCTCAGAGCTACTGCCGACATCACCACACAGACCTGGCCACGATCCAAGACGAGGCCGAGAAAACAGTAAAGCCGTGGCCTTCGGTCCCGATGTTCACAAATGGATTGGCCTTTACAGAGAGCCCTGGAGGTGGTCTGACGGCAGCACCAGCGCCTTCACCAACTGGGCCATCGACCAACCCGACAATAACAACTTCAACCAACACCGTGTCAAGATGACTTCAAAAAACACATGGTATGATGGACCATGTGAGCAAGATCTGCCATTCCACTGTGAACAAGGTGAGCACCCACAATATAAACTTAAAGACCTTATGCCGGGTTTGATTTATTTAGAAATACAGTTTTAATACCATTTTATATTAGAAGAGAACTACTAAAGGTTTCAAAATCAGTTTTTTTTTTGTCTGATCCCCCCAAATCGAAATAACCCCATAGCAACGCCCTTAGAGACGAAAAAACTTCACAGCCCTTGGTGACGTCAGAGTGGGTACGTTTCAACGCTGTAAGTTGTTTACAGTTTGGTATTCGTTCTTTTTTCGCGGATATTCAAGATGACAAGGCCGTGTACAGCGAGTCTGAGATTACTACTAGATTGTAATACTTCGTTGTCACTGAGATAGTTTCGTTGTCACTGAGATAGTCCAGTGGTTGTGTCGATGGACTACTAATCTAGATACTTGGGTTCAAATCCCACCTCAGACACATTTTCACTCTCAAAACGGCAATTTATGTGTAGTGAGCAATTGTCACCTGTAGAGTGCAGTATTGTGTTGGGCATCAGTGGAGAGAAGAGAGAAAAGGCAGTCCTGTGGCATAGATCCATGGTTTTCAATGCATGGGCGTTACCCGCTATGACGTCACACACAGGTTAGAGCATAGACAACTTACATTCATGAAAAACACGTTCTTTTTATAAAATATAGGATTTTTTTTGCCGGAATCTATTTCAGATCGACATTGTCATGCAATTTTGATATCCACAATTATTTTTTTTTAAACCCGGCATAAGGTCTTTAAAGGAACAGGCCCCGTGTTTACATCCTGACACATGTTCTTACCTCAGACTAGTTGATATGTACCTGTCTGGTCTGTGTCCGTGTGCTCTGTCATGCAAACGCAGCACAAACACAGCCTCTTCCACAGACTGTATAGTTCCAAATCAGCTCCTGTTAGAAGCTACAAAACTCTTCCACGTGTTCCCTGTTTAAATACAGTTACGTGACGTGTTACTCTACAAAGTATAGTAACACAGAAATGTAACACGTCCATTTTCTCAGAGGATAAAAAGAGGAACTATTGTGCCTTGCGAAAGTATTCGGCCCCCTTGAACCTTTCAACATTTCGCCACATTTCAGGCTTCAAACATAAAGATATAAAATTTAAAATTTTTGTCATGAATCAACAACAAGTGGGACACAATCGTGAAGTAGAACGAAATTTATTGGATAATTAAAACTTTTTTAACAAATAAAAAACTCAAAAGTGGGGCTTGCAATATTATTCGGCCCCTTTACTTTCAGTGCAGCAAACTCAGTCCAGAAGTTCAGTAAGTTCACTGTTGTGGAGAAGTTTAAAGCCGGATTTGGATACAAAAAGATTTCCCAAGCTTTAAACATCTCAAGGAGCACTGTGCAAGCAATTATATTGAAATGGAAGGAGTATCAGACCACTGCAAATCTACCAAGACCCGGCCGTCCCTCCAAACTTTCATCTCAAACAAGGAGAAGACTGATCAGAGATGCAGCCAAGAGGCCCATGATCACTCTGGATGAACTGCAGATAACTACAGCTGAGGTGGGGATGGTGTGTTCAGGGTGATGAGCTGTGTTGCTTTTACGCCAAACATATCGTTTTGCATTGTGGCCAAAAATTTCGATTTTGGTTTCATCTGACCAGAGCACCTTCTTCCACATGTTTGGTGTGTCTCCCAGGTGGCTTGTGGCAAACTTTAAACCAGACTTTTATGGATATCTTTGAGAAATGGCTTTCTTCTTGCCACTCTTCCATAAAGGCCAGATTTGTGCAGTGCACGACTGATTGTTGTCCTATGGACAGACTCTCCCACCTCAGCTGTAGTTATCTGCAGTTCATCCAGAGTGACCATGGGCCTCTTGGCTGCATCTCTGATCAGTCTTCTCCTTGTTCGAGATGAAAGTTTGGAGGGACGGCCGGGTCTTGGTAGATTTGCAGTGGTCTGATACTCCTTCCATTTCAATATAACTGCTTGCACAGTGCTCCTTGAGATGCTTAAAGCTTGGGAAATCTTTTTGTATCCAACTCCGGCTTTAAACTTCTCCACAACAGTATCTCGGACCTGCCTGGTGTGTTCCTTTGTCTTCATGGTTCTCTCTGTGCTTTAAACAGAACCCTGAGACTATCAAAGAGCAGGTGCATTTATACGGAGACTTGATTACACACAGGTGCATTCTATTTATCATCATCAGTCATTTAGGACAACATTGGATCATTCAAAGATCCTCACTGAACTTCTGGACTGAGTTTACTGCACTGAAAGTAAAGGGGCCCAATAATATTGCACGCCCCACTTTTCAGTTTTTTATTTGTTAAAAAAGTTTAAATTATCCAATAAATTTCGTTCCACTTCACGATTGTGTCCCACTTGTTGTTGATTCATGACAAAAAATTAAAATGTTATATCTTTATGTTTGAAGCCTGAAATGTGGCGAAATGTTGAAAGGTTCAAGGGGGCCGAATACTTTCGCACTGTATATTGTGAGGCGTAATAATACGAGGAGCACTACGTCCGCGCACTAACTCCTAAAGACTTCTCTCCCGCTCACGCTGCTTCTATTGACGGAAGTGAGCGGGAGAGAAGTCTTTAGAAGTTAGTGAGTAACACGTCACGTAACTGTATTTAAACAGGGAACACGTGGAAGAGTTTTGTAGCTTCTAACGGGAGCTGATTTGGAACTATACAGTCTGTGGAAGAGGCTGTGTTTGTGCTGCGTTTGCATGACAGAGCACGGACAAAGACCAGACAGGTACATATCAACTAGTCTAATGCCGTTTTTCCACAGTCCTAGTACGGTACGTTTTGACTCTACACGGCGCGCCATGGCCCAGTTCGTGTGCTTTTCCATCAAAAATAGTACCCCCAGTATGTCCTCAGCGTTGTCAGACCACGTCATTTACATGTGACGCGTAACTAGTACTGCTGTGTGCATGGATTTATTATAATACCAGAGCAAGTGTTATAGAAAATTCAGCACAGCACGAGTAGTTTTTGAAAATGCTTATGTCTTAAAAGAATGACTCAGACACTGTGAAGTCAATGGTGCTGACTGCTCTGTACAATCTGAATGAGACCTGTAGCAACAGCAGCCGGCGTAGCAGAGGAGGAGGGCTGCATGTCCGAGGACACTGCTAGGCTATAGCTAATGCTAGCGCTAGCTCGAGACTCTGCTCAGTCACTAACCCTGGATTCCAAAGCTACTACTATACTACACTTAACACATCTGTCACTACCATCAGAGGAAGATCCAGGGTTTAAACTCGTCATATGGCAACTCGAGCAGTAAAGGACCGAGGGAGAGACAGAAGCAGCCATAAGGGTAGCGAGTTAGCGGCTAGGCTAGGCTAAGCTAGGCTAGGCTAGTCCGGACTCGGGTATGGACTACAGCAGACTCCGAGACCAGACAAACAATCGATACCCAAACCTCAGCTACAATAATAATAAATGAATGAAACACAGTCTTGATACAATCATAGATTTATTGAAAACAAAAGTAAAGTGCAAAACCAACAGTTTACAAAGTCAAAAGTACGTATGTCAGAGACCAGGTCCAGACCAGGTCCAGACCAGGTCCAGATGAGAATACTCCGGTCACTCATTACTCGTTGGTAATCTCCACACTTATGGAAAGGGATTCTCATACAAATTTACACACGACAATTTAAATACAAGCTCAAAACAGAAACACGTAAAAACTGCAGATAATACGGGATAAAGCACAGTAGCACAGGGAGGAGGTTAGCTTAGCTGCTAGATGTCGCTTCCAGTGACGACACTCGCTGACCAATCAGTGTCAGGCAGTGGACCGACGTGACGTCATGGCACGGGTACTATGGGGATGGAACCACGGCTGAGGCAGTACGGACAAGTACTCAAATCTCCCATACCATCCACTAGTGGAAACGCAAAATAACCGTGCTGAAGCGTACTGTACTGTACCGTACTGATACTGTGGAAAAGCGGCATAAGGTAAGAACATGTCAGTATGTAAAAACGGTGACCTAAAGCAGCAGTATGTACAAATGTGGCCAAAAGTGGTACTGCAGCCTCTCCCACTCTCCCTGACTCAGGTTGCCAGATATGCAGACGAATCCAGCTGGGACCATAACAGCTGAATAGACAAGAGTTTTGTCAACAACAAATCTATAACCAACACCTTTTTCACAAAGATAGAAATCCTGGTTTTATTCCTGTTTTGTCGTCAATGATTTGAGAATCATAACGAGACCTTTTTTAGTTCTGCGCCACATGGTACTTTACCAGTGAGATTAGCTCCACGAGGTGAGTTCTGGCGCCCGGATCACAGACTTTCTGATTGGTGAAACGGTGGAGGGCGGGACATCGAAATGAAAACAATAACAAGATTTAGGGGCTGGAAAAGAAATTTAGAAATTCAATTATCTCTGAACTACTGTTATCAGTTAAAGAAGTATTGGAAAAGAGCAGTTTATTATTGACAGATTAGGGCCCTTTAACAATGACAGATTAGGGCCCTTTAATGATGACAGATTAGGGCCCTTTAATAATGATAGATTAGGGCCCTTTAATGATGACGGATTAGGGCCCTTTAATGATGACAGATTAGGGCCCTTTAATGATGACAGATTAGAGCACTTTAATGATGACAGATTAGGGCCCTTAAATGATGACAGATTAGGGCCCTTTAATGATGAGAGATTAGGGCCCTTTAATGATGACATATTAGGGCCCTTTAATGATGACAGATTAGGGCCCTTTAATTATGACCGATTAGGTCCCTTTAATGATGACAGATTATGGCCCTTTAATGATGACAGATTAGGGCCCTTTAATTATGACAGATTAGGGCCCTTTAACGATGACAGATTAGGGCCCTTAAATGTTGACAGATTAGGGCCCTTTAATGATGACAGATTAGAGCCCTTTAATGATGACAGATTAGGGCCCTTTAATAATGATAGATTAGGGCCCTTTAATGATGACAGATTAGGGCCCTTTAATGATGACAGATTAGGGCCCTTTAATGATGACAGATTAGAGCCCTTTAATGATGACAGATTAGGGCCCTTAAATGATGACAGATTAGGGCCCTTTAATGATGACAGATTATGGCCCTTTAATGATGACAGATTAGGGCCCTTTAATGATGACAGATTAGGGCCCTTTAATTATGACCGATTAGGTCCCTTTAATGATGACAGATTATGGCCCTTTAATGATGACAGATTAGGGCCCTTTAATTATGACAGATTAGGGCCCTTTAATGATGACAGATTAGGGCCCTTTAATGATGACAGATTAGAGGCCTTTAATGATGACAGATTAGGGCCCTTAAATGATGACAGATTAGGGCCCTTTAATGATGAGAGATTAGGGCCCTTAAATTATGACAGATTAGGGCCCTTTAATGATGACAGATTAGGGCCATTTAATAATGATAGATTAGGGCCCTTTAATGATGACAGATTAGGGCCCTTTAATTATGACAGATTAGGGCCCTTTAATGGTGACAGATTATGGTCCTTTAATGATGACAGATTATGGCCCTTTAATGATGACAGATTATGGCCCTTTAATGATGACAGATTAGGGCCCTTTAATGATGACAGATTAGAGCCCTTTAATGATGACATGAAAATCTTACACATTGCTGCTTTAAACTATGATTATATACAGTAGCGTTTATTGCTTCTCCTTCAGCGACAGAGAAGAAGCGGGTGACTCTGGTCAAGATGACGCTGCAGGCTGCTGTCCACCTCGGAGACCTTTCCTCCACCATAATAAACCAGGTACATACTATCAGGAACTTACCAGGACTCACAAAGTTCACCAACTGCATGCATTTCCTGCAGATCCACACAAACCTTCTGAGCAAGGGACTGAGCGATTTGAAACTACGGTGGAAAGCTGCACCTGCAAAACAAACATGAGCAATCAACCTGACCTCAGCTCCTCCTCTTCCACTGATGATACCAAACTCCTCACGGACAAGACTTTTATAACCTGCCTCCTGGACCCCATTCCAGCTGCCCCCCTGAAAGCAGGGGGGCAGCTCCAACTCCATCACCCCCATCAGAAAGTCCTCCCTCAGCTCTGTTATTGATCCTCCCACACCCCCACCCCTTCTGAGAGAACCTGGCCTGGATCCCAACCTCCTGGACAACTTCAGACCCATCTCCCACCTCCATCTCCTGTCGAAAATATTGGAACGTGCATCATCTCCCAACTCCAGAAACAGCCCTCCTCAAAGTCACCAACGATCTCCTACTTGCTGCCAAATCTCCATCCTCTTCCTCCTCCTCCATCCTCCTCCTGCTTCTCCTCGACCTCAGTGCAGCTTTTAACACCACAGACCACAGAGTCCTTCTACAACACCTTCAGTCCATCTACAACACCTTCAATCCTTCTACAACACCTTCAGTCCATCTACAACACCTTCAGTCCATCTACAACACCTTCAATCCTTCTACAACACCTTCAGTCCATCTACAACACCTTCAATCCTTCTACAACACCTTCAGTCCATCTACAACACCTTCAGTCCATCTACAACACCTTCAATCCTTCTACAACACCTTCAGTCCATCTACAACACCTTCAATCCTTCTACAACACCTTCAGTCCATCTACAACACCTTCAATCCTTCTACAACACCTTCAGTCCATCTACAACACCTTCAATCCTTCTACAACACCTTCAGTCCATCTACAACACCTTCAATCCTTCTACAACACCTTCAGTCCATCTACAACACCTTCAATCCTTCTACAACACTTTCAGTCCATCTCCTGGTTCACCTCCTTCCTCTCTCCTGCTCTCTCTTTCCCCTCTCTCTCCCCTCTCTCTCTCTCTCTCTCTCTACATTCACTGTCTTTCCCCTCGCACTCCCCCTCTCCCCCGTCTCTCTACTCTCTCCTCCCTCTCTCTCATTAACCCTTTAATGATTACTCCTTGTAGAAAGCAATGTCATTTTGCCTTGTTTTGATTCAATAAGGAGTTTTTCTTCTGAGTTTTAGGCCTTTACCAAAGGTTAAGATCCAGTTTGATGGTAAAGGTGCCTAAAACCAAGTGATAGAGATGCCCCCAATAAGGTAGATTTCAGTTCTAAGCTTCAAGTAAATACAGTGACTCAAAAAGTGATCCACCAAATGGTTGAGAAAACGATTAAAAGGTTAAACAATCTCAAGTCAAATACCACACAAGACTTCTGGAAACTGACTAATTCAAATTCTTTGATCAACTATTGATGGTCCATGTGTTGAGACCATGTGTGAGCGATTTTCAGACAAACGAGTGAAACGGCCGCGGCTGGTTTGATGTACTTTTCAGAGATTTGACAATTTTGCCATAGACACAGAATGGAGAGTGTTTGTTGTCGCCACGGCAACAGGGTCAAAAATAAGTCTTGAGTCTAATTGACTTTTTGAATCCAGCGGCCAAATGTGAATTATGTGCAAAATTTCAAACATTTTGTGTGTTTGTTTATGTGTGTTTGTCTGTGTGTGTTTGTTTATGTGTGTGTGTATACGTCGATATTTGTGTGTGTGTACTTATATAATTATATGTGGTTTGAGGGGGTCTGTTGTGGTCGGGGCGAGGGGTCATGTGATTATGTTTTTAACCAAACTGTAAAGACTGCAACTGTGTTGCATTTCTTGTATGAAAAGCACTTAATAAATAAAATATGATGATATTGAGGCCTCCATTTTCTCTCATCTTTGACTTTCCAGCCGGCGTAAACATACACACACACACACACACACACACACCTACACACGCACACACACACACACACCTACATACACACACACACACACACACAGAAATAATTGTGTGTGTGGAGAATCCTGAATTAGAAGTGTACTTGTAATGATTGCCACTCAACCAAGATGGAGGCAGACGGGGCTCTCCCTCCACTGGGGGGAGGTTGGAGGAGAGGAAGGGAGGGGGGAGGAAGGGGGGAAGGGAGGAAGGGGGGAAGGGAGCGGCTGTCTGCCTGCAGTGGAAACAGCATGTTTTGCAAATCAGGCATTTGTTTAAGAAAGAATATTGAAATGCTTCTTGAGCTGATCTCAGACACATTCAGAGGCAGTTTGACCAAAGACTGGGCTCAGAACAGTTGGAGGTAAACCTTCTGTAATTATCTGTGGATATAAAACACAGAGATGGAGATCCTTCTGTGGGCGTCCCTGCTCTACGGTAAGACTAGTATAATAATTAGACTGAATGAAACGATGCCTGAGTATGGTTCTGGCCTCAGGAGCCGGTGTGGTGTGGAGCTTCCACTCTGTGCAGTACAGCTTCATCAACGTCGCTATGAGCTGGACCAAGGCTCAGCAGTACTGCAGACAGCACCACACAGACCTGGCCACCTTCTGGAGCCTGGACGACATCTATCGGGTGAACAGACCCAGCCAGTATGGAGGGGTGGCCTGGATCGGACTCTTCGATCCCCCCAATTCATGGAAAGGGATCATGGGTAATGATTCCAACTCCTGGAGATGGTCTGTCACCGGGAAGCCCAGCCCTGGAGGCTTCCACAACTGGAGATCCGGCGAGCCGAACAACGACGAAGGCGATCAACTGTGTGCAATTATGGTTAATGGAGAGTGGGACGACAGAAGCTGCTCAACTCTGTGTCGATCTGTGTGTTTCACAGGTCAGAACTTTTACATTTACTTTATGTACATTATGAGTCACATATTCAACTATCAAAGACCATGTGTGGAAATGCAACATATTAGGGATTCAATTAAATATTTTTCTGCATCGCCCTAAAACAGAAGTCGTCTCGGAGGAAACAAACAAACAAAACGGTCCAAACACAGGAAATGCAATGATAAAAAGCAGAGACCACTGTCCATCCTCTCTGGTTTCTCTCTGGTCTCTCTCTGGTCTCTCTCTCTGGTCTCTCTCTCTGGTCTCTCTCTCTGGTCTCTCTCTGGTCTCTCTCTGGTCTCTCTCTGGTCTCTCTCTGGTCTCTCTCTGGTCTCTCTCTGGTCTGTCTCTGGTCTGTCTCTGGTCTCTCTCTGGTCTCTCTCTCTGGTCTCTCTCTGGTCTCTCTCTGGTCTCTCTCTCTGGTCTCTCTCTGGTCTCTCTCTGGTCTCTCTCTCTGGTCTCTCTCTCTGGTCTCTCTCTGGTCTCTCTCTGGTCTCTCTCTCTGGTCTGTCTCTGGTCTGTCTCTGGTCTCTCTCTGGTCTCTCTCTCTGGTCTGTCTCTGGTCTCTCTCTGGTCTCTCTCTGGTCTCTCTCTCTGGTCTTTCTCTGGTCTCTCTCTGGTCTCTCTCTGGTCTCTCTCTGGTCTCTCTCTGTACCATGTGTCTTTGTTTAAGGTTATGGTTCAGGACAGAAGACGTTCTCTCTGGTCTCCTCTCTGATGTCGTTTGCGGAGGCCCAGAGTCACTGCAGACAGCACTTCACAGACCTGGCCATGATCGAGGACCAGCAGGAGAACGAGGCCGTGTCCGCCCTGTGTCCCAGTGAACACGTGTGGATCGGTCTGTACCGAGAGGCCTGGAGGTGGTCCGACGGCAGCACCAGCACCTTCACCAACTGGAACTCCAAACCAGACAACGCTAATGGAAACCAGCACTGCACCAGAGAGGAACGGTCGTATTTATGGAACGACAGAGTTTGCGGCGAAGCCTTCCCCTTCATCTGCCATCGAGGTGAACACAACTGGAGCTTTGAAAACACACACTTTTGTTGCTCTTCAATTGTCTTTGCGATTGTCACCTCACAATGACCCTGATTTATGAGCCTTGCGCAGAAAAAGGTGTACATTTTTTTAGTTAGTTTTATATATACATGTAAATGATTAAACAATGATTAAAAATTATCCATAAACCTTTAAGAGAGGTTTTTTCCTCAAACGCTTGATTTTGACTTTCTATGGCTATAACTAAAATGTGAAAAACAAATTTCTGTAAATTAGAGAACTATTAAGCATTGCCTATAGATTATGTTGGGATTAAATTGACCCATCTAATTTGCATATTATGACATCATATGGTGGTGGCAATCATCAATTTGAGAACTTTGTAATTCTTTTAACTGACACATGAAAGTCACTAGGTCATGAACACACAAACAGAACTCAAAGAGAAATACTAAAAAAGTGCAAATCCTTATTTACACCTTTTAGTTCAGACCATGAGTATTAGAACCGGCCGCACAAAGACGTGAGAAAATATTAGATTATTAATTTAATGTTGAGGTGTGTTTCCTCTTTGAAGGAAGTTTTTAGTTGTCTCTGAGCTGTTGAAACATGTCCGACAGAGCAGCACACAAATTAGTCAGTTAATCATTAAATAAGTAGTCTCTGGGTGGAGCAGGTCACAGCAGCAGAGGTGGTGTAGCCTCTGGGTGGAGCAGGTCACAGAAGCAGAGGTGGTGTAGTCTCTGGGTGGAGCAGGTCACAGCAGCAGAGGTGGTGTACTCTGTGGGTGGAGCAGGTCACAGCAGCAGAGGTGGTGTAGCCTCTGGGTGGAGCAGGTCACAGCAGCAGAGGTGGTGTAGTCTCTGGGTGGAGCAGGTCACAGCAACAGAGGTGGTGTAGCCTCTGGGTGGAGCAGGTCACAGCAGCAGAGGTGGTGTAGTCTCTGGGTGGAGCAGGTCACAGCAGCAGAGGTGGTGTAGTCTCTGGGTGGAGCAGGTCACAGCAGCAGAGGTGGTGTACTCTGTGGGTGGAGCAGGTCACAGCAGCAGAGGTGGTGTAGTCTCTGGGTGGAGCAGGTCACAGCAACAGAGGTGGTGAAGCCTCTGGGTGGAGCAGGTCACAGCAGCAGAGGTGGTGTAGTCTCTGGGTGGAGCAGGTCACAACAGCAGAGGTGGTGTAGTCTCTGGGTGGAGCAGGTCACAGCAGCAGAGGTGGTGTAGTCTCTGGGTGGAGCAGGTCACAGCAGCAGAGGTGGTGTAGTCTCTGGGTGGAGCAGGTCACAACAGCAGAGGTGGTGTAGTCTCTGGGTGGAGCAGGTCACAGCAGCAGAGGTGGTGTAGTCTCTGGGTGGAGCAGGTCACAGCAGCAGAGGTGGTGTAGTCTCTGGGTGGAGCAGGTCACAGCAGCAGAGGTGGTGTAGTCTCTGGGTGGAGCAGGTCACAGCAGCAGAGGTGGTGTAGTCTCTGGGTGGAGCAGGTCACAGCAGCAGAGGTGGTGTAGCCTCTGGGTGGAGCAGGTCACAGCAGCAGAGGTGGTGTAGTCTCTGGGTGGAGCAGGTCACAGCAGCAGAGGTGGTGTAGGCTCTGGGTGGAGCAGGTCACAGCAGCAGAGGTGGTGTAGTCTCTGGGTGGAGCAGGTCACAGCAGCAGAGGTGGTGTAGTCTCTGGGTGGAGCAGGTCACAGCAGCAGAGGTGGTGTACTCTGTGGGTGGAGCAGGTCACAGCAGCAGAGGTGGTGTAGTCTCTGGGTGGAGCAGGTCACAGCAACAGAGGTGGTGAAGCCTCTGGGTGGAGCAGGTCACAGCAGCAGAGGTGGTGTAGCCTCTGGGTGGAGCAGGTCACAGCAGCAGAGGTGGTGTAGTCTCTGGGTGGAGCAGGTCACAGCAGCAGAGGAAGAAGAAGAAGGTCCTTTATTCGTCCCACAATGGGGACATTTCAGTTCGATGCACACACATTTACACGCACACACATTTACACACACACACACACATTTACACACACACACATTTACACATACACACATTAACACACACATTTACACACACACACATTAACACACACACACATTTACACACACACACACATCAAGGCAAGCAGCGAACATGCCTTTCGCGCTCCTTAAAGGCAAAGTGGGTTAAGTGTCTTGCCCAAGGACACAACAACAGCAGACCTCAGTGGGAGTCGGTGGAGAAGGTCTCATGGTGGTCTCGAACCCACGACCACAACTCAAAGGCCAATGCTCTACAACTGAGCCACTGTCGCCCCAAAAGGAGCTAGCTACATAGTTGCTACACTTGAGAGAGTGTCCCTGAGTGGGCATCGGCTGGTCGTCCTGGTTCTGTGCAGTGAACAAGCTCCATTAACACGCACACACATGCACACATGCACACACACGCACACACGCACACGCACACACACGCACACACGCACATGCACACACACACACACACACATGTTTTTGTTACCTGGTGGGTCCCTTTGACAGGGCCGTTCAGAATGGGACCCATAGACATAATCTTTTTTACTGGGACTACTTTAAGTAATACAAAACAGTCAATAGAAAACAAACAACTCTTTTAAAGGAATTTTATTTTTGATTTTTTTTTTGAATTGCAGTGATTCTATTTTTGACATTGAATTTAATGCCACTCCATGTCCGATGTCTAAGGTCATCTGGTGAGGCATTAATGCAGGCCAGGCCAGGCCAGGCCAGGCAGTGAGACTTCCCAGGGACTTTTCCAGTCTGTATGAAAGGCGTCATGGTCTTCTCCACAGCCTTCACCTCAGATGCAGACCATGGCTTTCTCTAACGTTCTAGGGAGAGAAATAAAAATATATTAGCGATATACACTCCCAGGGTGAGGACCAAGCAGCCTGGCTGTAATCCCCCACCTGGTACACTTACCAGAAGGGGCACTGCCACTACCATGGGGTGCATCTGGATGAATGGTTGAAGGTTCTCCGCTTGAAGTTTCTTTTAGCCTGTCCGTTTGTGAGAGGATCTCTACTGCTCTCCCTGTCGCACAGAAAATAAAAATACAAGTGGCCTTTAGGGGAAAAAAATTATACATATTTTAATAATATCAAGAATTACCTTCAGGCTCAATTTGTATCTGGTCGAGGCTCTTTCCTTCGAATTCCGTCACTCTTCCCTGCTCCATGGCCATCAACACTTTGCTGATTTTGGCCAGCTCCAGTGTCCCCTCTGGTAGTCTGTAATATTGTCTGTGGATGCGAATGTCATGGCCGAGGAAGTTGGCAAGTATGTCCATCTCATTCTCTTTCATATTGAGAACTGTAGACATAGTAGCTATGTGCTTTCTAAGTTTGGTTGAGGATAGCATCTCTGGATGCACCGCACCACATTCTTTGGCTACCTGGCGTAGGGAGTCTGATCCCCTGATGTGGGTGTCTGCGCCCGGGCGGGAAAAGAAGTATGGGTTATGGTCAGAGATGGAACAGGCCCTTCTGTTCTCCACCAGCACCTCCATCGAAGCAATCATTTCAGGAGTCAAAAGAACCACCACTTTCCCACTTCTTTTCCCTTTAATTTCAATGTCAAAACTGCCAGTTTAGACCAATACTTAGAGGTTGGCTCACTTATTAGGGTTTGCACATATTCAGGTCGACATACCTCAATATGTGCATGCATGGCTCTAACGTCCTCAGTCAGAGGGAGCAGGTCCGGAGTGTTCCACTTGGCTTGCCGGAGGGTCTGTAGGGCAGCAGAAGAAACACAGACGTCCCACCTCTTCTCAAAAAGCAGCCGGCTTCGTTGGAGGTTTTTAATAAATAGTTCATCAACACAATGCTCCATTTTTGAGTCACATTCAAGAATATCTGCTTTCTGAGGCTATGGCCGAGTTTGAGGGCCAAGGATGGAGTCTTGTATTGATTTGTTTCCTCATCATATCCAGCCACAGACCTGACTGCATCAATCACATGGTTAAAGACCTTATGACGGGTTTTTTAAAAAAATATTGTGGATATCAAAATTGCATGACAATGTCAATCTGAAAGAGATTCCGGCAAAAAAATCCTATATTTTAAAAAAAGAACGTGTTTTTCATGAATTTAAGTTGTCTATGCTCTAACCTGTGTGTGACGTCATAGCGGGTTACGCCCATGCATTGAAAACCATGGATCTATGCCACAGGACTGCCTTTTCTCTCTTCTCTCCACTGATGCCCAACACAATACTGCCCTCTACAGGTGACAATTGCTCACTACACATAAATTGCCGTTTTGAGTGTGAAATAGTGTCTGAGGTGGGATTTGAACCCAAGTATCTGGATTGGCAGGCAATCGACACAACCACTGGACTATCTCAGTGACAACAAAATGTTACATTCTAGTAGTAATGTCATACTCGCTGTACACAACCTTGTGATCTTGAATATCCGCGAAAAAAGAACGAATACCAAATTATAAACAACTTACAGCGTTGAAACGTACCCACTCTGACATCACCAAGGGCTGTGAAGTTTTTTCGTTTCTAAGGGCGTTGCTATGGGGTTATTTCGATTTGGGGGGAATCAGACAAAAAAAACAACAACTGATTTTGAAACCTTTAGTAGTTCTCTTCTAATATAAAATGGTATTAAAACTGTATTTCTAAATAAATCAAACCCGTCATAAGGTCTTTAAAGTTGGAAGGAATAAAGAAATCCTTAATTGTTTTCAGTTTCCTTGCGGTTTTTGCTTCGTTAATTAATCTACCGACTTCTCTCATTTTCTGCCTAATGTAATCATGCTTAGTCTTATCATGCCCATGTTTTAAGTACAGGTGCTCTCCGAGTCTCAGAATCCCCTTTTCTGCTTTGACAACACCCGTGACCTCATCCTGATGCATTGCCCAAATTAAAGACCACAGCTTTTTGCTGATGCCCTCCGGTACAGGCTGGGCTAGGGAGCAGAGGGACTGGACCCTACTTCTACCTGGTTTAGCCTGGTTTAGCCTGGGCATCTTTCTGTGAAAGCCGGCACCTGGCCACATGCCTCCACAGCCACTTTCGCTTAAGCAATGCCCCACAGTCTATACAGTGCAAAAACTCACTGGATTTAACTGGGCAATTTGGCTGTTTAGCTGGGACTAAAGTTCCAATGCCGGCCTTTAAAACCTCAACATTGTGCTCACGGTTTCCACTATTCCTGATCAAATCAAACTGAAGTTTACGTGCTTTAGATTTCACAGGTAGAGCCAATGCTCTGGCTACGTCACTTTCATTTCCATGTTTTCTAGTCAAATGACGGGACATTTTGTGGCAGGACATTGAACAGTAGAGGCAGAAGTGTCTCTTGCTATAAACTCGCCCCCCATTTTTCTTCTTTTGCAGCTGCATGATAACAATCTTATTTGCCTTTGGTTCGTCACTTTCCGAGTCTTGAAGAAAAGTGTTTTTGATTTTTCTTTTTCCATACTTTTTTACAGGTTTCTTCTTGACAGTTAAATCGTCAGAATCTGAGTCGACTTCATCAATTAGGGACTCTTGACTAAGCTGCACAAACAACAAATAATTTGTAATAATTCTATATAACAATTTGAAGTCATGATTTGTAGTCAGCACTTACCAGTGGTTTGTAAGCGTGCGCTTCAGTGTGCTGCTCTGTGATTGGCTGCAGCCTAATGAACCACACACTTGCACCTTTTCTAGCCTGACACCTGATTTCCTCTGTTGTGCTGCTCCATGATTGGCTCCAGCCTCTGTTGTGCTGCTCCATGATTGGCTCCAGCCTCTGTTGTGCTGCTCCATGATTGGCTCCAGCCTGCTGGACTGAAATTGCCCCAGTGTGCCCCTCCTTGATATCCCGCAACCCACCACCAGGGTTCCGACACATAACACACTTTTTTCAGGAAAGTAAACCTCCAGGGGTCCTTTCCATATTTTTACAGAGACTGCATAAGGACCGTTAGAAAAGCATTACCCATTGATTATTAAGCTTGGACCAGTGGGGTCCGGTGTTCGGGCCCCACCACGTAAAACCAGTCCCCATGACGTGAGTGGAATCTCAGGTTATGGAACCCACCAGGAGTTGAAAACAAGTGCGCACACACACACACACACACACACACACACACACACACACACACACACACACACACACACACAATAACAGAAATACAAAACTAAACGTTTAACTGTTTTTCAGTCGTTACAACGAGAAAACACCGGCTCCTGATGAAATTCTGGTCTGGTCTAAACCTGTCAGAACCTGCGCTTCAAAACCAGATCACACAGCGAGTGAGTATCGTTCCATCAACTGGTTTTAACTGGTTTTAACTGGTTCAAACTGGTTCAAACTGGTTCAAACTGGCTCAAATTGCAGCGTGTGTGTTTTTCCAGATTGGGGCGGAGCTTCAGCGCAGCGGAGTCTCTGATTTCCGTCTCAAGTGGAAGAGCGCTCCTCACGAAGAATAAAAACGGTGGATTTTCAAAGTGTGAAGAATGTTGCAGAGCGGTCTTCAAACTATCATCTTTCTAATAGTTTCTGTTTATGTGACATCACAATATTCTTCATCTGAGGTTTTTACAGTTTTTTCCTTTTGCCTGAACACATTTTGCAAAATTTCGCTCATAGTCCCAAAACTCTAAACACAAGATGATCTGACACAACACTGGGACATAAACCATACACATCTGTCTCAAAATCAAACTCCTTTATCAAAACTCAAACTCTGCTCTCAAAACTCAAACTCTGCTCTCAAAAATAAACAATCATTTGTCAAAATGAAACTCTGAGGACAAAATGACACACACATGCATCATGTGAACACACTTTCAGATTGGAAGCAACACACTGCAGTACTTTATATAAAACACTACAGTACTTTATATAAAACACTAGTCTTTCATTTTCCACTGTTTTTATTCTGTTTCTCAGTTAACTTGAAGCTCATTCAAGTTCTTGTTCTCAACAAAGGTTTACCAACAATGGTGAGTAAGGAGGCAAGTAAACAATTTGCAATTGAGCATGGTGGGCGAACCAGTTGTGGACCAGAGCAGCCCGGTGGAAACTAACATTATCCCAGACAATCACAAACCTGGGCTGCTCTGGTCTGTCCCGTTCAAGTGCATCATGAAGTGCATCTAGAAATGCTAGTATTTGCTGTGTATTGTAGGGGCCTAGGTTGGCATGATGATGTAGTAACCCTCGAAGGCTTATGGCGGCACACAATGTGATGTTTCCCCCGTGTTGCCCTGGGACATGCACAATTGCCCTTTGACCAATTATGTTACGACCCCATCGTCTAGTTTTGTTGAGGTTGAAACCAGCTTCATCAATGTAGATGAATTCATGTAGTTGTACAGCTCCATCCATGTCCAAGATTCTCTGCAACAACAAAATACATAGCATGAATGGCTGGCATTACTCAAAACACAGTACTACACACACAGAGTCACACCCCTCCCTACAACACAAACACACCAGTGCCTTTTTCCCTCTTTGCATGTATGTGGTACTGGTACAATGGCACAGCTATTACTGTAATGAATTACATAAATTGCAATACAGTAAAAGACTGCAAAACTTACTTGTACATATTCTTGTCGAAGTCTTATGACCCTGACACTGTTCCTCTCAAACGGGACCCTGCACAACTGCTTCATTGTCAGTTGGTGCTTTGCCAAGACACGTCCAATCGTGGTGAAGCTTACTTCATTGATGTTTACAAATACTTGCCCATCTGCAATAATCTTTTGTTGTAGCTGGCGGAGAGAGATTGCGTTGTTTTCTCTGACAATTTCTACAATGGCAAGTTCCTGCAGTTGAGTGAACATGTGTTGCCGACCCCCTCCAAAAGGTCCTCTAGTCATTCTGTAGAAATATGCAACCACAAATTGTTACTACGGGTTTAGTTATTTTTTACAGCACTGTATACTGTTCACAGTACTGTGACATCTCAATGGTACAGTGCTATGTACCAAGCCAACTTGAAATACAGTACATGTGATACGGTAAAGTACTGTAAATACTGTAGATGCTGTAAATACAGTAAAGAGTTGGAGACATACCTTTTTTCCAGTCTGAAGGTCCTTATGATGGATGCAACTGTGAACCGGCTCAGGTGTGGGTGGACTCTCTGGCCAGCTTCCCTCATTGTGAGGCCATGATTGATGACATGATCAACCAATGTTGCTCTAATATCATCAGATATAATGTTTCGTACATGGCCTCTTCGACCACGTCCTCCTCCTCTTGCTCCTTGTCTTCCTCTTCCTCTACCTCTACCTCTTGCTCTTCCTGCCTCCTCCATACTTGCAAAGTTCTAAAGAAGGCTGAAATGAGGCCCATTTATGTCTGACTGATGTGTGTCACGTTTTGTAAGTAAGTGTTTTCAGGTGTGTGTCTGAGTGTTTTCAATCACACAGTGTGTTTGGTATTTTGAATAGATGTGTTTTCCCAATGATAAACACAGGATTGCATTTATGAACAAAGTGTCTTATGTATGACACAGTGTGTAGTGAGCATGAGAAAGTGTGTTGCAGAAAGAGAAAGTGTGTTGCAGAAAGAGAAAGTGTGTTGCAGAAAGAGAAAGTGTGTTCCAAAAGGAGAAAGTGTGTTGTAGAAATGAAAGTAGAGTGCAAAGCAGTACTTTTGTTTAAGCAATGGTCAGTCTGTGTTTTAGGTTTAGAACAAAAGTTTCAGGTTCTTGTTTTTGGTTCACATTATTTCTTGCTGCTTTTATCTTTACTTATTTTTTTCTTGTGTGTGGAGCTCTTTGAACAGCTGCTGTAAATGTGCTACACAATTAAAGTTGACATTCAACAGAAACTCTTTTAAAAAATAAAAGGCTGTGAAAAACCATGTTTTTAATCACATTTTAAACTAAAACCAAAATCAAAACAATCAAAAAACGAAATAACTCCAAATATCAAATCACATTTCCATTCACCCAGTTTCTTCCGCTTTATCCGATGCCGGGTCTTGGCGGCAGCAGTCTGAGAAACCTCCACCGGTTCCTTTCTACTGCGGGAGGAGCAGCGGCTGTACTCCGAGCTCCTCCTTTGGGGCGACAGTAGCTCAGTTGGTAGAGCATTGGCCTTTGGGCCCAAAGGTCGTGGGTTCGAGCCCACCACGGGACCTTCTCCACCGACTCCCACTGATGCCTGCTGTTGTTGTGTCCTTGGGCAAGACCTATAAGGAGCGCGGATATGATGTTCGCTGCATGCCTTGATGTGTATGTGTATATATGTATGTACTTGTGTATGCATCAAACTGAAATTTCCCCATTGTGGGACGAATAAAGGACCTTCTCCTGTGTGACTGAGCTCCTGTTCTGTGTTTAATGATCGATGAGTGACTTTGGGACCAGGAGGATGCTCTGTTAGTGTTGGGTAGTGTGGATATAAAAAAAAAATTGTCCACTCACCTTTGGCCCTCCGCGGGCGGTTATCCCTCTCTAAGCTCGGGTCCTCTACCAGAGGCCTGGGAGCTTGAGGGTTCTGCGCAGTATCTTTGCTGTTCCTAGCACTGCACATTTCTGGACCCAGATGTCCGAGGTTGTTCCGGGGATCCGCTGTAACCACTCATCTAGCTTCGGGGTCACTGCCCCGAGTGCACCGATCACCACGGGCACTACTGTCACCTTTACCCTCCAGGCCCTCTCCAGCTCCTCTCTGAGACCTTGGTATTTCTCAAGCTTTTCATGTTCTTTTTTCCGGATGTTACCATCGCTTGGAATTGCCACGTCCACCACCACGGCTGTCCTCTGCCCTTTGTCTACCACCACAATGTCAGGTTGGTTCGCCATTACCATTCGGTCGGTCTGTATCTGGAAGTCCCACAGGATCTTCGCACGCTCATTCTCCACCACCTTTGGAGGAGTTTCTTAGACCTTGGGGTTTCCAGCCCATACTCTGCACAGATGTTTCTGTACACTATGCCAGCCACTTGGTTATGGCGTTCCATGTAGGCCTTCCCTGCCAGCATCTTGCACCCTGCAGTTATGTGTTGGATCGTCTCAGGTGCCTCTTTGCACAACCGACACCTTGGGTCTTGTCTGGTGTGGTATATCTGGGCCTCTATCGCTCTGGTGCTCAGGGCCTGTTCCTGTGCAGCCATGATGAGTGCCTCTGTGCTGTCCTGTAGGCCAGCCCTTTCTAGCCATTGGTAGGACTTCTTGAGATCAGCCACTTCTGTTATGCTCCGGTGGTACATGCCGTGTAGGGGCTTGTTCTCCCATGATGGGCTCTCCTCCAGCACCTCCTCATCTCGCCACTGCCTGAGACATTCACTGAGTACGTCATCCGTTTTGGCCTTCTCCATGATGTAGTTATGGAGTTTGGATGTTTCGTCCTGGACAGTGGCTCTCACACTCACTAGTCCTCGGCCTCCTTCTTTACGGCTTACGTACAGTCTCAGGGTGCTGGATTTGGGATGGAACCCGCCATGCATGGTAAGGAGCTTTCGAGTTTTAACATCCGTGGTCTGAATCTCTTCCTTTGGCCACCTGATTATTCCTGCAGGGTATCTGATCACTGGCAGGGCGTAGCTGTTAATTGCCCGGGCCTTGTTCTTGCCATTGAGCCGGCTTCTTAGGACCTGCCTTACTCGCTGGAGGTATTTGGCAGTTGCCGCTTTCCTCGTCACCTGTTCGAGGTTGCCATTTGCCTGTGGTATACCGAGATACTTGTAACTGTCCTCAACATCTGCTATTGTTCCATGGAACAATAGCAGACGATATCTGCAATATATATATAGCATATATATATAGCAATATATAGAGAAGTAAGTCAATTAACAGAGGCCCAGAGAGGTGCAATGAAAAGACCAGTACCCAGAAAGTACAACCAGATGACCATACCTGAAGCACTCGAAACTGCCAAACAAAGGCTCCAAGCCCTGGCCAGCCGCCTACAGAGGTACACTAAAGAGAATGAAGCCAGAAGGGTGAACAGGCTGTTCGCAACACAACCTGCGAAGGTGTACGCTCAGTGGCAGGGTAACAACAGGGGAGCAGACCCACCGAGGCTGGAAACTGAACAGTTCTGGAAGAACATATGGGAGAAGGTGCTGGAGGAGGTGATGGAGGAGGTGATGGAGGAGGGGATGGAGGAGGTGAGGATGGACTGTATGATGGCCTCTTCAAAGACATACTTCCTTTGATAATATCATAAATATAATAAACGCATCCATACAATGTGGCTATGTCCCACAAGCTTTTAAAACCGCGGTAATCAAACCCCTTCTGAAGAAAACAAACCTGGACCCAGAAGTACTTACAAACTACAGACCGATCTTGAACCTCACTTTCATATCTAAAATCCTGGAAAAACTTATCGCTGAGTAGCTTCGCTGCCACCTGCAGGAAAATAATATGTTTGAAGTCTTTCAATCAGGATTCAGAGCTCATCATAGACTGAAACGGCACTAGTCAAAGTCACAAATGACTTACTACTAGCTGCTGATGATGGACAAGTGTCAGTGCTGGTCCTACTGGACCTTAGTGCTGCATTTGACACAATAGTTCTACTGCAGAGGCTAGAATGTGATATAGGTCAGGGTTTGGTACTCGGACCGATTCTTTTCACTCTCTACATGCTGCCGTTAGGAAACATTATTAAAAAGCATGGAATTAATTTCCACTGCTGCAGATGACACACAGCTTTATCTGTCGATGAAGCCAAATCAGACAGATCAGCTAGAAAAGCTCAGTGCTGCATAAATGACCTTAAAATGTGGATGACTCTTAACTTCCTACTTCTCAACCCGGAGAAGACAGAAGTGATCCTACTCGGTCCGAAGCGCCTGCGTGACGCCCTTACTAACCAGATAATCACTCTGATAATGTCAGTGTTATACCCAGTAACACTGTGAGGAATCTTGGAGTCATTTTTGACCAAGAACTCTCCTTCAAGGCTTATATAAGCCAAGCAACTAAAACGGCGTACTTCCACTTACGGAACATCGCTAAAATTAGGAATCAGGAGCGGATCCCTTTCTCAATATGGGTCTTCCCGGGGTTTCTCACTTTTTTTCCCACTGGGTTTCTGTGAGTTTTTCCTCTGATGCAGGAGGGTCTGTTGGGCAGTTAGTGTCTAGAAGGACTGTGATGATCCAGGACACTTTAACATTCTACAACATGTATGACATTTATCAACATTCATGGACATTGGTCTCTCCCTATGGACCAAGTCATAGGTGAATATTTTGTGTTTTAACTGTTGATTCTCTGATCTGTGTTGGTGATTTCAATGGTTAAGTCTCTGAGACAACTTCTGTCGTGATTTAGGGCTATACAAGAATAAGTTGTTTTTGTTCAATGTTTTTGTCTAAACTGAGACAGTATGGCTCTAGTCATCCTAATTTGAATAGAACCCCAATGGAAGACTTACAATCCTGTTCAAACACCATCAACGGATTGCTCAAAGTTCGTGTCTATTAAATTACAATATTGTTATTATCTTCAAAGATTTTCCAAATTAACTGGTTTTAATTACTTCTCAATCACAAGGAAAAATAGTTGTGGCTCAAGCAGCTGTAGGTCCCAAGCAGCTTGTTCCATTGGTCAATTTACTTCAACTCAAGATAATAATTAAACTTTTTGATCGATTGATGTGTTTGCATTATTGTTGTATGTTTAGGGACTTTGAACGGATTTCAGGCAGTTTACACAGTCCTGTAACAGGAGCACGTGAACACGTTAAATATGCTCTGAGGATTCAGACCGCTTGCAAAACACTGTCCAGGCGCCAACATGCAGGGCTTCTCTCTGATCCTCTGTGAGTTGAAACATTACATTATTTGTTCCGGCGTTCTGCTTTTTGTAAAGAAATGTATTGTCTCTAAATTAGGCCTGAGCATTTCCAACCTGCTCGGGTTGGAAATGCTCCGTGTGGCGTATACGAATTGTCCTATGTGGATGTTGGAACACTGAGCTACTAGTTTTATTGCGGTAGATATATAATATATAATATTTTTTGCCAGCAAAGTGGGCTGTTCACAAAGGTCATTTGACTTTCCTCCAAAGTCTGTATGGGAGATGTGCCCTGGTCTTGTTCTTAAGTCAGGCCCAGCGTAGCCCACTTAATGGTATGTGAAAACACATAAACTGAGCAGAGCCGTGCTGAATGGGGCTCATGTGAGAAAGCCTTAAGTAATGCAGTAACTGCAGTAATAGGCCAATGCAAAGAAAACAAAGTATTATCAGCCACTAGTATCCATGTCGCCATGTCCCTATACGGACATGAGGGGTCAAAACATTCACATTCATTTATCTTGTTCTGCTGCAGTTTATCTTTGTATTCAACAATAATCCAATGAGCAATATTTTTAAAGACCTTATGACGGGTTTGATTTATTTAGAAATACAGTTTTAATACCATTTTATATTAGAAGAGAACTACTAAAGGTTTCAAAATCAGTTGTTGTTTTTTTTGTCTGATCCCCCCAAATCGAAATAACCCCATAGCAACGCCCTTAGAAACGAAAAAATTTCACAGCCCTTGGTGACGTCAGAGTGGGTACGTTTCAACGCTGTAAGTTGTTTATAATTTGGTATTCGTTCTTTTTTCGCGGATATTCAAGATCACAAGGTTGTGTACAGCGAGTCTAAAATAACTACTAGAATGTAACATTTCGTTGTCACTGAGATAGTCCAGTGGTTGTGTCGATGGCCTGTCAATCCAGATACTTGGGTTCAAATCCCACCTCAGTCCCTTTTTCACTCTCAAACCGGCAATTTATGTGTAGTGAGCAATTTTCACCTGTAGAGGGCAGTATTGTGTTGGGCATCAGTGGAGAGAAGAGAGAAAAGGCAGTCCTGTGGCATAGATCCATGGTTTTCAATGCATGGGCGTAACCCGCTGTGACGTCACACACAGGTTAGAGCATAGACAACTTAAATTCATGAAAAACACGTTCTTTTTTTAAAATATAGGATTTTTTTTTGCCGGAATCTCTTTCAGATTGTGATTGTCATGCAATTTTGATATCCACCATTTTTTTTTTTTTTTTAAACCCGTCATAAGGTCTTTAAAGTAAGTCATGTTTATTTATATAGCACATGTTACAGACCAAGGTACAGACCCAAAGCTCTTTCCAATGTTCAGAGTCAGATATTGTTCCAATCATTCCACACACGGTGATGAAGGTGAAGGGACAAATAAGTGTTATTTCAAAATATCCTTTTCTTCCTTTCAGTTGTTTCAGCGTGTCTGCTCCTAAATGCAGGTAAATGCAGCCTCATGTATGTAAAGAAAATCTCACACATGTGAGCTACAAGCTCTTTCAACACGCTCACATACAGAGTACATGCTCGCCCAGGACCGTAGGGCTCAAAGTTAATCTTTCTAATGCTATTGTTACTTTTCTATTTCAGTAACCGGTCAGTTTGTTTGTTTGTTCGAACAGAAGCACTATGCACACAACTGAATGAAAGCTCCGGAAGAGCTGTTTTAATGCCATTTGAACTGTTTTCATGAACAACTGAATGAATAAATAATCATCTTTGAAGATGCGCGCATTAAAAAAAATTCTAAACTAACCTTTCAAAAAAACAAATTTCTTCACCCAGGTTTCATCAAGGCCTAACTCAATTCAAGTAAATCAAATGTATTCTTGTGTAGCCCTAAATTACTCAATCTGGGTTATTACAAAACTATTTAAGAAGAACTGGTCAAAACATTTGTAACAGGCAAAGCAATCATAACAGTTATCTAATTGATTATTAACCATGAACAGCCCTAGTTACAATGAGCGGACTTGGCTGAACAAAGACTGGACATCCCAGAGTGGGGAGAGGACATGGACTGGACAGCCCAGAGTGGGGACTGGACATGGACTGGACAGCCCAGAGTGGGGAGAGGACATGAACTGGACAGCCCAGAGTGGGGAGAGGACATGGACTGGACATCCCAGAGTGGGGAGAGGACATGGACTGGACAGCCCAGAGTGGGGAGAGGACATGGACTGGACAGCCCAGAGTGGGGAGAGGACATGGACTGGACATCCCAGAGTGGGGAGAGGACATGGACTGGACAGCCCAGAGTGGGGAGAGGACATGGACTGGACATCCCAGAGTGGGGAGAGGACATGGACTGGACAGCCCAGAGTGGGGAGAGGACATGAACTGGACAGCCCAGAGTGGGGACTGGACATGGACTGGACAGCCCAGAGTGGGGAGAGGACATGGACTGGACAGCCCAGAGTGGGGAGAGGACATGGACTGGACAGCCCAGAGTGGGGAGAGGACATGGACTGGACAGCCCAGAGTGGGGAGAGGACATGGACTGGACAGCCCAGAGTGGGGAGAGGACATGAACTGGACAGCCCAGAGTGGGGGGTGGAGAGGCGGGGTCTGGAAACATTTACAGCTAACTATGATGTATATTTTGTATGCTCCTAATTCTGTCCTTTATGTGCGCTGCAACATTGACATTTCCCCACTGTGGGACGAATAAAGGTTCTTTTCTCTTATCTTAAAGCAGGAGTTTTTGGGCACAGAATGACCACTTGTGGCGAAAACGTGCATCGTCTCACTTGTGGTAAGCCCTGCCCCCAAATGCCCCACATTTTTCTATACATAACCCTTTTAAGTTTTAATCCCATTTTAGGACTTCTGCCAATACTTATGCTTTTCGTAATTCAAATATCTAATTGTAATTCTGTATTTGTTGGAATGTAATTTACTGACGACAAACAAATCCAACAGTTTTCACACACAATCTGCTTTGGGATCAAGATCTTGTGTTGCTGACTGTTTATTTGAACCGTTACAGACACTGGAGTTATAAGTGTGACCGATGGTTTCTATGGCCGTAAGGACTCCATCACTTGTGCTGGTGGACAAGCGCCTGAAGCGGTCTCAAACAATCAATCAATCAATCAATCTTTATTTATAGGGCGCTTTTCCTGCACAGGGCAACACAAAGCGCCTCACAGTCCACACCACACAATGCACAAATCATCACCATTAAAATACAATTAAAAACACATATGTAATTAAAAAGCATTAAAATCACATAAGTAATTTAAAAACATAAGAATCACACAAGTAATTAAAAACAATAAAATAGTTAAAAACACAAAAAGTTACAACAATAAATAACAAGGTGTGTTAAAAAGATAAAATTCTCTAGTTGTATGCACAGGAAAAAAGAAAAGTCTTTAACATGGATTTGAACATTGACAGAGAGGCAGCCAGTCTCACATCCTCAGGAAGACTGTTCCAGACTTTAGCTGCATAGATCTGAAAAGCAGCCTCCCCCTGTCTAGTCCTGACTCTGGGCACTAACAGGAGTCCCGTCCCTGCGCTCCTCAGAGTCCGGGCTGGTTCATATGGGACTAGCATATCATGGATGTACTTTGGTGCAAGGCCATGGAGAGACTTGTACACCAGGAGAGCTGCTTTAAAGTCTATCCTCTGGGCCACGGGAAGCCAGTGCAGAGACCTGAGGACCGGACTAATGTGGTCGTACTTCCTGGTTCTAGTCAGGACTCGGGCTGCAGCATTTTGAATATAGTGCAGCTGTTTTACTGCATGTTTGGAGATACCTGTGAGCAGGCCATTGCAGTAATCCAGCCTACTGGAAACAAAAGAATGGATAAGAATCTCCAAGTCTGCCCTGGACACAATATTTTTAATTTTGGCAATATTTTTCAGATGATAAAAAGCTGCTGATGTTACCGATCCAATGTGGCTATTGAAGTTTAAGTCAGAGTCCATTATTACTCCCAGATTTCTGACCTTATTTAAAGGCCCCAGGGAGAGAGACTGAAGGTGACAAATGACGGTCTCTCTTTGTTTCTCGGGACCAAAGACAATCATTTCGGTCTTGTCCGCATTTAGCTGGAGAAAATTGCATTGCATCCACTCACTGATCCGCTGGATACAGCGAAGGAGTGAGTCCACCGGTCCATGCTCTCCTGCAGTCAGTGAGACATAGATCTGAGTGTCATCAGCGTAATTGTGGTAGGACACTTTCATACTTTGAATTAACTGACCTAATGGCAGCATGTAAATATTGAACAGGAGAGGTCCCAGAATCGACCCCTGTGGCACTCCGCAGGTCAGGGCCATATTATCTGAGACATAGTCTCCAATCTCCACACAATACTTCCTTTCTTCTAGATAGGACCTAAACCAGCTTAGGGCGGTACCAGCAACACCAACCCAGTCCTCCAGTCTCTGCATGAGAATCTCATGGTCAACGGTGTCGAAAGCGGCACTCAGATCTAACATGACTAAAACAGAGACTTTTCCTCCATCAGTGTTAAGCCGAATATCATTTGTTACCTTGACTAGAGCGGTCTCAGTACTGTGGTGTGGTCTAAAGCCAGACTGGAACATGTCAAATGAGTCATTAGATATTAAAAATTCAGTAAGTTGTTGGTAGGCAACTTTTTCAAGAATTTTTCCCATGAAAGGCAGATTTGAGATGGGACGGTAATTTTCAAGTATCGCAGCATCCAAACTGCTCTTTTTTAGGAGGGGCCTGATGACTGCCTTTTTCAGGGCCATTGGAAATGTTCCAGATAAAAAAGACATGTTTACTATTTGTGTCAATGAGGGTAATAGACCACACATAACAGACTTCAGAAATCTAGAAGGTAGTACATCCAGACTGCAGGTAGAGGAACTAAGACCTGTGATTATCTTTTTAACAGTTTCATCATTGACAGGTGCAAATTGAGCTAGCTCACAAAGCCTCACTGGATGTTGCATTGTTACTTGTGTTGTGGAGGTGATGGCATTTCTGATACCCTGAACCTTGTCTCTGAAGAACTGTGCAAACTCATTACACCTGGATTTGGAGTAGTGTTCTAATGGCAACTCAACAGGGGGGTTCGTTAATCTATTGATTGTTGAAAATAGAACACGCAGATTGTTGCTGCAGCCTTCAATAGTTTCAGAAAAGTATAATTCTCTTGTTCTACGTAGTACTCTGTTAAACTCACACAACTTCTCTTTTAAGAGTTTATAATCACCCTGGAGGTTGGACTTTCTCCACTTTCTCTCTGCTCTCCGGCACTCTTGCTTCTGTGCCCTGACCGGGCCTGCTTTTATCCATGGGGCTTTTTGCTTATTTGTGACCATTTTTACCTTCACAGGGGCAATGGCGTCCAGAACATTCAACACACTAGAGGTGACAGAGTTAAACAGTTCATCTACAGTAGAACATGATGTGTTCTCAAAATGGATCATTCCCATAAATAGTTCACCCGTGTTTTCATTTAAGTGTCTACTTCTAACAATTTCATATTTAGCGGGTGGTCTGGTAGCAAAATACATGTTAAAAAATACACAGAAATGATCCGACAGAGCAACATCAACTACATTAACTTTTGAAATATTCACCCCTTTCGTGATAAGCAGGTCCAGGGTGTGTCCTCTGCTATGGGTGGGGCCACTCACATGCTGAGTGAGGCCAAAGGATTCAAGTATGGAACTCAGCTCTTTTGCGTATCTGTCATTAACATTATCCACATGAATATTAAAATCGCCTATAATGACTAAACCATCAAAATCTGTGCACACAACTGAAAGCAACTCAGTGAAATGATCAGTGAAACTATGGCATGACTGTGGCGGCTTGTACACAACAATAATAAGAATGGAAGAAGATTTCTTTTGTTCTATTTTAAAAGAAACATACTCAAATGATGAAAATTTCCCAAGAGACACTCTATGGGAGACAATACGATCTTTAAAAACTGCTGCTATGCCCCCCCCCCTTTTATTTTCTCGTGTTTCATATTCAAAATTTGAAATTTGGTGGTGAGGCTTCTATTAAAACTGCATCTCCTGTATTATGGTCAAGCCATGTTTCAGTCATAAACATAAAATCAAGATCATACACAGGATGTTCTCTGGCCTCTGCCTTGGACTTCATCACCAAGAGGTTCACATACATCACAAATGTGTCAATGTTTTTAAATGACACCCTGTTTTTAACCATGTCAGCACAGTGTCCTTGGGTGTTTTGAAAGGTGCTTTTAAATCAAATGTATTATTATTGATATCATTATCAATAAATATAGCAACATAATCCCATGTGCTTGGATGGAGAGCAAAGGCATCAGTTTGGGCTGCTCTAATAATCAAATCATCAAATAATTGCTATGTTCACAGGGGCTAATATGCTGTACTCCGCTCACATGAACATTTTAAAATTCTCTCTAAAAAGGGCGTTGCTCGCGGACCAACGGACAAGAAGGGGGGCTACTAGAAACGCTAAAGAGATAAGAACTATGCAAATAGGGGGGCGCTGTTGAGCGTTGGCATGTGAGGACGTGTCTGCAGTAGCTCCGCCAGAATGTGACTTTTTATTGTATTTTTACACCTTTTAACTTGGATTTGAACATAACCGCCAGTCTTCTAACTTTATTGAAACCAACCATGTCCGCCCCACCGAGGAAGAGCAGCGTAGGCATGGAAACTCGCCATAAATCTGAAACAGCGAAGACAGGCCGCATCCATCCTGCAGCCTCGCCTGAGCATGTGCCTGACCCCGGGTCTGATGCTAACGAGCGCCTGCTATGTCGTATGGAGGTAATGATGCAGAGCATGCGTTCGGACATTGTCACTGAGTTTGAGCAGATAGTATCAGGGGTAGTTAAACGGGAGATAGCCGCTGCCCTTCGTCCACTAGAAAGTGGACGAAAGTGCACTCTGAGTGCGCAGAGTGAAACCATTAATAGCTTGGAAGATACTGCTACAGATCATGGTGGCCAGCTAACTAGCTTACAAGCTACGGTAGCTTTGCTGACCGAGCAGGTTGGCTCTCTGTCGAAGAAATGCGAAGACCTGGAGGGGCGCTCAAGGCAGAATAACGTACGTATTGTTGGAGTGCCAGAGGGAGTTGAAGGAGCCCGACCTACTGATTTTGTGGCCACTTTACTACGAGACTTGCTTGGTCTGAACGACAAGCCCGTTTTGGATCGAGCGCATCGCACGCTCCGGCCTAAGCCCAAGGATGGAGAGCCCCCTCGCCCGTTTATTGCACGTGTAAACCTTTTCCAACAACGCAACGAGATTTTGCGTAGAGCTGGTGCATCGGCGCCACTCCTATACCAGGGGAAAAGGGAGTCCGTGTTCCCGGATTTCACTGCCGCCGTTTCTAAGAAAAGATCCGCTTTTGCTACGGTGAAAAAATCGCTCCATTCATGCCCGGGTGTGAAGTTTGGCCTGTTCTATCCTGCTGTGCTGCGTGTTACCCTTCCCGGTGGACAGACTCATCGTTTTGAAGACCCAGAACTTGCAGCGGACTTTGTGACCAAACATGTGAAGACTATGGTGTCTCCTGACTCTATCTGATGTGTCTGTCTTTCACTTAAAAACATTTGGAAGCTGCAGTAACCACCAGTCAGAGTAACGTTACAGTTTTGCACATTTGGTAATATGTTGCCCCCTTTGTTTTGTTGTGTTGACTGTTGCATTAATACAGCCCGTTATTGCAGTATGTTTTTTTTTTCCCCATTTAAAATATTTTGTTCTTTTTTAGCATTAATTCTAGGCTTTAACCTAATGTTATTGCTACCCTGCTAATAATGTTGCCTGATAGTTATCACTTTTATTTGTTTATTTGTATTTCCTGACAAATAGGTTATTGTTGTTGTCCATTCTGCTATAGGCATACAGGTATTCCTTGTATCCATTTTCTTACTTACACTATTTTAAATTGTTTTGACCACTTTACCTATTTAAAAGGTGCTTTTTGTTGAGACTTGGTGTATTTTCTATAATTTGTTTTTTTTTTATTGTCACATTCCACATGGAGGGTTATAGTTTTAGTTTCCTCCTTCGCCTTCGGAAGGTTTGCTATGGGATATTTGGGGGGATTGGGGGTCGCGCATTCCATTTGGGGGAATGCTTCTGCGATTTTTTGTGTTTTTTGTTTGTTTTCATGCCATCAACTTCTCTACACTGCTATTATTACATTTGATGTGTCCATAATATGTTCATATAAGTTTGCGGGACAACCTGAATGCAATAATTTGATTTTACCATTATGTTGTCTTCAGTAGGAAAGGACCTCCGGTTTGCTAGCTTTAACTGCAAAGGACTTAATAATCCAGTGAAACGCAGTAAGGTGCTCCACCATCTACAGCAGCTTGGTGCTCAAATAGTCTTCCTCCAAGAGACCCACCTTAAGAACCTTGATCACCTGAAGTTAAAGAAAAGCTGGGTGGGCCAAGTGTATCATTCATCTTTTTCTGGTAAGGCTAGGGGTACAGCGATTCTCTTTCATAAGTCTATTTCCTTTGTTCTTGAGCGGGTTCTCCCTGATCCTAATGGCAGATACGTTATTGTAACTGGCAAGCTCCTGGGTTTGAATATTGCATTGGCCAACGTCTATGCACCAAACTGTGATGATGAGTCCTTTTTTAAGCGTTTTTTCTCTCTGCTTCCCGATATGTCTGCTTATCATTTAATACTGGGAGGGGACTTTAATTGCTGGCTAGACCCCGCTCTAGATCGTTCTTCCACTAAACAAGTTGCACCTTCACGATCAGCGAAGACAATTCAAAATTTTATGGACGTGTTTTCTATATCTGACTCTTGGCGCTTTTTGAATCCCTCCAAGCGAGAATACTCATTCTTTTCTTCTGTGCATCACACGTTTACGCGCATTGACCTGTTTTTAGTCGGTAATCGATTTCTATCAATGATATCTCTGTGTAGATATGATGCCATTGTTCTCTCTGACCATGCTCCTCTTTTGATGGATATAAAACTGAGAGCCTTATACCAGCGCCCCCTTTGGCGCCTCAATGTTCGGCTACTCCTAAATGATAATTTTATTAACTTTGTCTCAAATCAGATAGATTTTTTCTTGAGTACCAACAGAATGCCAGGAATGTCTGCTTCGTTGCTCTGGGAGTCCCTTAAGGCTTATATTAGAGGGGAAATAATCTCCTTTGTACAATTTGAGAACAAAATAAGAGATGAAAAATTAAACTGTATCAGGCAGCGAATATTGCAGCTAGATACCTTATATGCAGCCTTGCCTTCACCGAACATTTATAAAGAACGTCTCGCTCTCCAATCTGAATTTGATGTACTCATGACCTCGCACACAACAGAACTTATGCTTCAGGCTAATACACAATTTTTCGAACATGGTGATAAAGCCGGTAAACTGCTGGCTCATCAGATCCGTCAGGTCTCCGCCTCCCGTCAAATAGCTAAGATTCAAACTAGTCAAGGGGAAACTACGGATCCCTCCAAAATTAATCAGACTTTTGAAGCCTTTTATCAGTCCTTATACTCGTCCGAGATTAAGCCTACAGATGAGGACTTTGATAGTTTTTTTTCACCCCTTCAAATTCCTACCATTAGTGAGGATTCAGCGAATAACCTTGGGGCATCCATTACATCCCAAGAAATTGGTGTAGCAATACAGTCCCTCCAGAGTGGGAAGTGCCCGGGCCCGGATGGATATCCATCAGAATTTTATAAGAAATTTAAGGATAAACTTACACCGTTGTTATTGGATATGTACACTGAATCATTCTCTCATGGTACGCTGCCAGAAACACTCAATCAAGCTGTAATTTCGCTCCTTCTGAAGAAAGGAAAGGACCCTTTACTTTGTTCCTCATATCGCCCCATAAGCTTGTTAAATGTCGATTTCAAACTACTATCAAAAATCCTAGCCAAACGCCTTGATAAAGTCTTACCTATCATCATTAATCCTGATCAAACCGGTTTTATTCAAAACAGACATTCCTTTTCAAATTTGAGGAGACTTTTTAACATAATACATAATAACCCCCAGAATAAATCACAGTAAGCCTTGATATCGCTAGACGCTGAAAAGGCGTTTGATGGACGAACTCAGCCTGCTCATGAGAAGAAACAAGGACTTCGCCACATCCTGTGTCCTCTGCTTCACTGAGACCTGGTGTCCTCTGTGTCCTCTGCTTCACTGAGACCTGGCTAAATGAGCGGATCCCGGACTGCGCTCTGGAGCTGCAGGGCTTTGGGCTGTTCCGCGCGGATCGCCATTGTGCGCTCTCAGGGAAGAACAGAGGCGGAGGGCTGTGTTTCTACGTCAATACAAACTGGTGTAACGATGTGACAGTGATCTCCAAGCACTGCTCTCCTGCTCTGGAATATCTTTTCATTCATTGTAAACCATTTTACTCCCCGCGCGAAATTGTTTCATTCATTCTTGCCTCTGTTTACATACCGCCATGCGCGGACGCAGAGCAAGTACTGTGTATGGAACGCTTATACCCGGACTCTCTGATTATTATCCTGGGGGATTTTAATAAGGGAAACTTGAGCCAGGAATTACCCAAATACAGACAGTTTATCAAATGCCCGACCAGAGAGGAGAACACTCTGGATCACTGCTACACCACCGTGCGCGGAGCTTTTTGCGCTGTTCCCAAGCCAGCCCTCGGCTTCTCAGATCACTCCATGATACATCTGATTCCTGCTTACAGACAGAGACTAAAGCTCTCGAAACCTGCAGTGAGGAGCTCCAAAGTGTGGTCTGATGAAGCTGTGGAAGAGCTGCATGCATGGAATCTACAGACTGGGACCTTTTCAGAGCTGCCACAGATAGTTTGGATGAATATACGGACACTGTGACGTCATACATTCACTTCTGTGAGGATAGCATCATTCCAACAAGGACCAGGGTCATCTATAACAACGACAAACCCTGGTTCACTGCTAAACTCCGGCAGCTCAGGAAAGCAAAGGAGTCTGCTTTCAGGGAGGGGGACCGCAGCGGCTACAAAGCAGCTAAATATCAGTTCAGGAAAGAACTGAAAGCAGCCAAGTCCCGGCACAGAGAACGACTACAGGAGCAGTTTGGTAACAACGATACTGCTTCTGTCTGGAGGGGCCTACGGGAGATCACCAACTACAAACCCAAAGCCCCCCCCTGTGCTGACGACCACAAGCTAGCTGACGAACTGAACTTATTTTTCAGTCGCTTTGATGCTGCCCCTGACACCTCTCCCTCCCCCACCCCCCACTACTCTAACGACCCACCCATCAGCCCTGCCCCCAGCCTAACAATAGCCGCTAAAGAGATTAAACAACTCTTCTTGAGGCTGCACCCCCGCAAAGCTCCTGGCCCGGACCACGTGTCTCCGGCCACTCTGAGATTCTGCGCCAGTGAGCTTACTCCTGTGTTCACTGACATTTTCAACTCCTCTCTGCAGTCCTGCCATGTCCCGGCCTGCTTCAAATCCTCCATCATTGTCCCCGTCCCGAAGAAGCCCAGGATCACAGGACTCAACGACTACAGACCTGTAGCACTTACGTCTGTCGTCATGAAGTCATTTGAACGCCTGGTTCTCTCCCATCTCAAGTCCCTCACCTCCCCCCTCCTGGACCCCCTGCAGTTCGCCTACAGAGCCAACAGATCTGTAGACGACGCCATTAACCTGGCCCTCCACCACATCCTACAGCACCTGACTCCCCGGGGACCTACGCCAGGGTCCTGTTCGTGGACTTCAGCTCTGCCTTCAACACAATCCTGCCATCCCTGCTCCAGGACAAGCTCTCCCAGCTCAACGTGCCCGATTCCACCTGCAGGTGGATCACTGACTTCCTGACGGACAGGAAGCAGCGAGTGCGTCTGGGGAAGAATGTCTCGGACTCTCGGATTATAAATACAGGAGCCCCACAGGGCTGTGTTCTTTCTCCCCTGCTCTTCTCCCTGTACACCAACCACTGCACCTCCAGCCACGACTCCGTGAAGCTGATCAAGTTCGCGGACGACACCACCCTCATTGGACTCATCTCCAACAACGATGAGTCCGCCTACAGGAGGGAGGTGGACCGGCTGGTGTCCTGGTGTCTCCTACAGGAGGGAGGTGGACCGGCTGGTGTCCTGGTGTCTCCTACAGGAGGGAGGTGGACCGGCTGGTGTCCTGGTGCAGTGGTAACAACCTGGAGCTGAACGCCCAGAAGACAGTGGAGATGATTGTGGACTTCAGGAAGAGCACTGTCCCCCCGCCCCCACCCTCCGTGATGGACTCCCCCATCACCTCTGTGGAGTCCTTCCGTTTCCTGGGCACCACCATCACCCAGGACCTCAAGTGGGAGCCGACCATCAGCTCCCTCATCAAGAAGGCCCAGCAGAGGATGTACTTCCTGCGGCAGCTCAGGAAAGCCAAGCTGCCTGCACAGATGTTGGTGCAGTTCTACACGGCCATCATCGAGTCCATCCTCACCTCCTCCGTCACCGTGTGGTTCGCTGGAGCCACAGTCAGGGACAAACAGAGACTACAGCGCATTGTGCGCTCTGCAGAGGAAGTGATCGGCCGCAGCCTTCCATCGCTGCAGGACCTGTACGTCGCCCGAGCTCGAGGCCGGGCTGGTCGTATCACAGCCGACCCCTCTCAGCCTGCACATGGACTATTCCAACCACTCCCCTCAGGCAGGAGGCTGCGGTCCATCAGGACTAGAACCTCCCGCCACAAGAACAGTTTCTTCCCCTCTGCTGTTGGACTCTTGAACACTTCTTAACCTGTCCCCCCGCCCTTTATAAAGTCACTTTACTGCCCATCATACGTCACTTTACTTCACTGTACTGCTGTCACCTTACATTGTGTGCACCATGTGCACTTGTATATTGTAAATAGTAACTGTAACTCTATTTTAAATTTAAATGTATTCTTTAGAAGTGTTTTTTATTCTTATTTGTATTATCTCTTTTTGACTGTTGCACTGAGCCAAAGCAATTTCCTAGTCTGTGACCTCCTGTTACTTACGTGGCAATAAAAATGATTCTGATTCTGATTCTGATCGTGTGGAATGGCCATATTTATTTCACACTATGACAAGGTTTGGTCTCGGAGACACATTCCTATCCTGGGTTAAACTTCTGTACTCTAATCCACTGGTCGCTGTTAGGACCAACAACTCTCGCTCGGGTTACTTCTCGCTAAAGCGGTCTACCAGACAGGGCTGCCCTCTTAGTCCCCTCCTGTTTGCTCTAGCTATTGAACCCCTGGCTATTTCTATTCGGGCTGATCCAAATATTAAAGGCATACGAAGATTTAACTTAGAGGCAAAGGTCTCTCTATATGCCGATGACCTGCTTCTGTATGTCTCTGATGTCATAACTTCAACACCTGCAGTTTTACACTTACTATCTGACTTTGGTAAATTATCTGGTTATAAACTCAATTTAAATAAGAGTGAGATTTTTCCCTTGAATTCACCTGCTGATACGCCTGACCTGAGTGGTTTTCCCTTCAAAATAGCATCGAGTTGTTTCTTGCATCTGGGAATTAACATTACACGCAAACCAGGGGACCTTTTCAAAGCAAACTTTTCTCCCTTACTTTTGAAAATTAAAGAAGACTTTGAACGCTGGTCTCTACTTAAATTATCTTTGGTAGCTCGCATTAATTGTGTGAAAATGAATATTTTGCCTAGAGTTTTATACCTATTTCAGTGCATCCCCCTTTTCCTGCCATGCTCTTTCTTCTCTCAATTGGATACAATTGTCTCAGACTTTCTATGGGATAAGAAAATCTCTCGGCTCTCAAAGCAATATTTACAGAGACCGAAACCATTGGGAGGGATGGCGTTGCCAAACTTTAGGCATTATTACTGGGCCTGTAATATAAGGACCATAAAATACTGGCTTCGTCTGGGGGATGTCTCCCCTTTAGCCTGGCTCACCATAGAAAAAAACTCTGTAAAACCAGTGTCTCTTTCAGCTCTGTTATATTCACCTTTACAAAGTGAAACCAAAAAATATACTAAAAACCATGTTGTAAGAATTTCTCTTAAAATTTGGACCCAATTTAGACGTCACTTTGGCTTGCAGATTTACTCCCATAATGCCCCTTTAGCCGGTAACCATTTCTTTTCACCCTCTCTTGTCGACAAAGCTTTTTTAAACTGGTCACATTTAGGCTTACACACTTTTAAAGATTTATTTATTGATCGTGTTTTGGCAAGTTTCCAGCAACTGTCGGAGAAACATTCTCTCCCAAAGGAACATTTTTTCAGATACCTACAAGTTCGCAGTTTTGTTAATAGTAACTTCGCCGTTTTCCAAATTTACCTGAAGACTCCACTATTGATATCTTTCTCAGGCCTCCTTCTTCGCTAAAAGGCTCCATTTCATTAGTTTATAATCAGATTGCAGCTATTCGTTCCAATTCTCTTTCATCAATAAAAGCTCTCTGGGAGGAGGATCTTGGTGAGGCATTATCTGCGGAGCTATGGTCAGAAATTCTAGCGCGTGTACACAAGTCCTCAATATGTGCTAGGCATAGCCTTATACAATGCAAACTGGTTCACCGTGTTTACTATACGAAGTACCGTTTGTCCAAAATATATCAAAACGTGTCCCCAACTTGTGATCGATGTCAGCAGGCTCCAGGCAACCTTATTCACACATTCTGGCTCTGTCCACGACTTCATGATTACTGGACAGAAATCTTCTCTCATTTTTCAATTGTTGTGGGCAATCAGGTAAACCCTAATCCTTTGAGCGCTCTTTTTGGTGTATTCGTGGGACCACCCTCTCTGTCCAAATCAAATAGAGACTCTCTTGCATTTATGACTCTGCTGGCAAGAAGGGTGATACTACTGAAGTGGAAGTCCTCACAGCCTCCGTCTTGGACACAGTGGCTTAGAGAAGTTTTATTCTTCATCAAGCTGGAGAAAATCCGTATAACACTGAGTGGGTCTGTCGATAGATTTGAACTGACGTGGCAACCACTGTTCCAGTTGGTACAACACTTAGACTTCCCTTCTGTCCCAGACTAATTCCTGGATTTTTTATAATAGGTTTTTAAAAAAAAAAGTGATTTAATCCTTTAATCCTTTTACCGTCCCTCTTTCAGTTCTGTTATTTCATCTTTAATTTTCATGGCACTCTAATGGCGATTGATGGCTTTTTATTTTATTTTATTTTTGTTTTCTTTTGGTTCATATTTCTCTTGTTTTATTATTACAGAAGAAATGTACAAATAATTATCCTTTTTACTGTTGTTATGGTATGTAAATGTTGTACATTATCTTGGAAAAAACAATAAACAAATTTTGAAAAAAAAAAAAAAAAAAAAGAACTATGCAAATAAATTGCCATCCTGAAAATCTATGTAAATTCCTTGCTCTCTATTCCAACTCCAACTCGCTACGAGGCGTGTGTGAGACGTGGCCCAGTGGTGCCGTGGTTAGTATTAGGCAAGAAGGTTCTGGCCTTTCTGTGTGGAGTTTACATGTTCTCTGTATTTCTGAGTCTGTTCTGTGCCGACTGCATGAAACAGACTCATGGCTCATGTGTGTATGCTGTATGTTCATCCATTTAGATGCCAAGGAAAGAAATGGTGTGAGCTGAGCCCTGACGGCTTCGAGAACGATCCATGCGGAGACACGTTCAAATACATCCAGACCTCCTACATCTGCGTCCCAGCCAGTGAGTTCAGCCCAGTCCCCTGTGAGGACAATATTAGGGTTAGACTTCGACCACACCCAAAGATGTTATGGTCATTTTTACAATGACCCAAGGGGTCATTTATTTCTAAGTATTGAAATACATACAAAATAATTGTATGCCTTTTCAGCCGTGGCAGAAACTGTTAGGGGACCTCTTCGCTGAGGGGTAGTAGAGTAAACAGACTCTTATCAATCTCATCACCAAAAGTTCGGGTACCAGTGTGTTTGAACAGACTGTCTCTTGGGCCTTATAACAGACTGCAATTAAATCTGCATTTCTCATGTTATTGATCCAAAATAATCTGAAGAATAGTCATTTTCCACTTTTATTCAGTTTTGATGAAATGTTTATATGTGTGTTTCAGTCCATATGATTGTGTGTGAACAGAACATGGCTCATATGGACTGTGGTAAGTTCAAATCATAATTTGCACTTCTGCTGCTACTGCTACTACTGCTACTACTACTAGCACCACCGCTACTGCTACTACTACTACTACTACTACTACTGCTACTACCACTCCTTTCACTACCACCGCTACTACTACGACAGCTACTGCGACTACTACTAGTCTACTACTTCTATTACCCTACTACTACTACTGCTACTATTGCTGATGCTGATGCTGATGCTGATGCTGCTGATGCTGCTGCTGCTGATGCTGATGCTGATGCTGATGCTGCTGCTGCTGCTGCTGATGCTGATGCTGATGCTGCTGATGCTGCTGATGCTGCTGATGCTGATGCTGCTGCTGATGCTGATGCTGCTGCTGCTGCTGCTGATGCTGATGCGGATGCTGATGCTGCTGATGCTGCTGATGCTGATGCTGATGCTGCTGCTGATGCTGATGCTGCTGCTGCTGATGCTGCTGCTGATGCTGATGCTGCTGCTGCTGCTGTGACTAATATTATTACTAGAACAACTATTAATACTACTACTACATGCAGAACCAAGGCTCCGTCTTTCCGTGGTGTTTGAGGTTGTTTAGTCTCAGCAGTAGTAGTACTTTGTTGACATGTTTGTTGGATCTTGTGTTTCAGAAGAAAACGAGGTGATAGAGGTCTTTGCAGCAGACTGGGGCCGCAGGGACCAAACAACCTGTGCCTTAAGACTCCCCTCACCAATGGTGCAAAAGACCGACTGCTACAACCCCACTGACTTTCCAGGAGAAAAGTAAAGTTACACACTGCAACTACTCTGCTAACTACAGATGCATGTGTTTGTCCTCATGATCTGTGTGGCTTGGTCAGACGCAGGAGTTTATGGAGAGAAACAAACATGTCCAGAATTACTGTCAAACCTGCACCTCCTTCTAATGTTTATGGACATGTGGAGCTCATCTAGTGTCAATGACCATTAACACAAACATGTTTCAGTGTTTTGACTGAAAGACACATGGCAAAAATATGCATGGGTCATATTTTGGGCTGATAGATTTATAGATAGATACTTTATACTTTCCCCATAGAAGAAATTCAGGTGTCCAGCAGCGGAAACACATCCATCAATACAAACAAAACAAATATATACATCATTCTAAAATACTAACAATAGTAATTAGGTGCAGCAGCACTTTAGGACACAGCAGCAGAGGTTGTGTAGCCACTATAGTGATGAGCTGCTTTCTAGCCTCTGGGTGATGTCTGCAGAGTCTGCTTGGTTCAAACCATTTTCTCTGCTCTGTTCTGAATCAGTGTAAAACCATGAATACTGAACTGCAGTAAGATTTACAGCTAGAAAATGCCACATGATGCCACATGATTGTGTGTAAAGCTGCTACATCAGGCACGTGTCTGAAATCAGCCCCACAGCCCCATACGCCAAGGCTTTCTACTTTAAAAGATGCGTGTGTAGGGGATGACCACAACTTAACTTGAGAAAACAGCCCAAATTGAGGGATATTTAGAATAGATAGAAATGTGAAATGAATGTTATTAACTGCAGATAACTATTTCAATTGTTTGACAGGACTAATATTCATAGAAAGCATAAGAGAATAAAGCTTGGTCTCACGGGCTGCCAAGGACTTGTCAGTCAAATAACCCACACGTATGTCAGTGGGTACCAAAGGGACGGTGTGTTTTTATTAATTTCTAACTTCTACCACTTGTGTCATTCATCTTGACCCTCACTTACTCCCTTATACATGTATATTCATAGTCCACTTTAAAAATGAAATTATGAAATTGTAGAAGTGCATTTGTGTGTAAAGTGCCCCCCTTCTTTGCTCCACAGGTGTAACTTGAGGCCAAGCTGTCCTGTCCGGGTGAACAAGGCCGTACTGGGGCAGGGCTGTGCTGGGACCGCTCAGTACCTGGAGCTGGCCTACTTCTGCAAGCCCAGCCCTGGCAAACAATACGCCAAGAAAGCTCTGCCAACATAAACAGGCTCAAATCATTCACTGTCATTTGAAATGCCATTTCTTTGGTGAAATCCAGCTGATTGGGTTTGTATTCACCATCTGTTATATGCGCTCAGAAGTGGCCTAATAAAGTCATTGCAATCCTACTTCTGTTGCCAAAATCTTCCTGTGACGCTTGTAGTTCCTAAGATAAGATAGTGTGGCAAGCTGGACTTGGCCACCATATTTGTGTCCACCAGAGGGCGCATACGGACAGTATAACTGGCCTAGATTTACGTCTTTCCTTTACCTCTGTGCACCAATGGTGCCAAAGCAGGCCTCAAGTGAGTTCAGTCTTAACCTGAAAATGTGAGGAAACAGGCGGAGGCTGCCTTCCTCTCAACTGCCTCTATATGCCTGTAAACCATGCTGTAAACTTTATATGCCTGAAATGTATTTTATTTTATTTACTTATTTATTTTCAAAATTTTATTATTTTCAATTTACAACAATTGTCAAAGACGAGACATCAGAAATAGAGAGCTTGTATTAAAATAACAAAATACGATATATAAAATAAACTTACATTAATAAAACAACAATGAAATAAATAAAGTTCATTAGTCCGTGTCAGGGTTTATTATTATTATTAGTCCGTGTCAGGGTTTATTATTATTATTAGTCCGTGTCAGGGTTTATTATTATTATTAGTCCGTGTCAGGGTTTATTATTATTATTAGTCCGTGTTTCATCGCAGAAGTCTTTGTAACAGTCTCTGAGTCGTTTTCTTATTCATTACATACTGCAGTGAGTTCATTACATTTTTTACATCACTTAAAAAAAGGGGGAAACAAAAATCTTTGCTTGTGAATAAAACATTTACCAGACAGAATGAAAAAATGAACTACATAGTTACATGACTTTGTGTTATCTTCAAAATAACAGATAATATCTTTAAATGTAAAACAATGGCTCATTGGACAATTTTGGAAAATATAAATGACTCAATTCAGCCCAAAATGTTTGAACAATGTTACAATAGAAAAACAAGTGCTCGAGAGTTTCTCCCTGTGTTTGACAGAATGTACAGTTTTTATCAACATCTGCAAACTTTGAGACGACAGAGTTGGTAAATTATATGAATCTTAAAATGAACTTCCTTCATTTTGTTTGTAATGCAGTATTTATTTGGCAATAGTCAGGTTTTCTTCCAGTCTATTTCCTCTTTCAAGGAGTTCCAGAAAGATTTACACCTAGGAGTGATTTTGTTATGACTTTGAAACATTTGACGGATATGCTGATTATTACATTTTCTATCAAGTAAATTAATCCCATTTAAGGAGAGCACATGGAGCTATCATTAATATTGTTGTTTTTGTAAAAAGACAAATGGCATCTTAAGATGAAGCAACTCTGGGATGTCTTTGATCACAGACTTCTCTGAAGGAAATTCATACTTCACCATAAACTGTTCATAAGATAAAAGGATCCTTGTTCATCCAATAGAGACACAATCATATTCATATTGTTTTGGATCCATTTGGGAAAAAACAAAAACCGATTTCTTATTGTAACATGTTGTTCCACAAGGAATATTTATGTGGAGAGAAATTATGATTGAAGCACAATTTCCAACAGACATTTCTGGTGGAAAGTAGACGTTTTGTAGGTGTGTAATTACATGTTAAAGAAAAGGTAGTCCACCAACTCAAACATATGATTGGGGAAAAAGTACCAGAGAGACATCTTTTTAACCAGTTGATTCAAAATGTATTTACAGTATCGGAAAACTTCCACTTTTGCATTCAAGAGTACAGCTTTTTTGAGCTTATGAGGTTTGTTTTTCCAAATGAAATGTAAAAAAAGAGTTAATTTCTTTGGAGATGCGTTCATCACATAGTGACAGGATAAACAAAGCCGTAGACAGAAGAACTCTAACATATTTTAATTATTCTATTATGAAAATGTAAATGTTGTCTAGTTGAATACCCAAATATTTAACTGTTTGACTGGAATATTCTCTAGAAATAGATCTTCACAACTATGAATTGGCATCAGCTCAAATTTGGATACATTGAGTTTCAAGCCTTAGTGAATTCTTCAATTAATGAAATCCTTCTGCATCTGATTTTTATCTTTCAGAAAAAGAGCTGTGTCATCAGTTGTGAAATTCGTATTTCTCTATCAAAAATCGAAATACCCCTCAGTTCCGGGCGACTGACAATATTTATAGATAACAATTCCACAACCAAAACAAAAATGAAAGGACTTATCCTTGTCTTACGTGTTATATCAAACCTTTTTGTTGTAATTTACAATAACAGAGCTATTGATACCATTGTAAAACATATCAACCATTTGTGTAAATGATTTTCCAAATTGAAATAACTGAAGACATTCTTGAATAAATTTTTGTTCAATCAAAAGCTTTGTAGAAATCCACAAACAAGATAAATGCGTCAGAGTGCACCGTGTCAGAATAATCCGATAAATCCAAAACCAAGCGGACTTATTACTAATGGTGCGACCTTTAATAAAACCACATTGAGTCTCTGCTATAATTTAGTTTAGATCTTTTTTCAGTCTATCGGCATAAACAAGGATAATATTTTATAGTCTGTTGTTAGAAGAGTCTAAAGTCTAAGGCTTTTGGGATGAATAACATGTTTCATTGTTGGAGTCATTTCTCCTTCATCTTTGCACTGTTACATATCAAATATGGGATCTTTAAGAATCTCCCAAAAGTGTAAAAAGAATTCAACTGACAGACCATCAATTCCTTTTGCTGTTTTTCATTGAAAACAAAGCTTCTTTCATTTCAATTAGAGTCAAATCCAAAGTTCTTTAAAACTATCATCTACTTCTGGACAATATTGTCTTATTTTACTAAGAAATTCCATGCAAGCTTTTGAATCAAATTCAGAAGTGTATAATTAACTATAAAATGAGGCCACGTGATTAGAGATCACTTTTGCACCTGTGGTTATTGTTTCATTAAACTTTAGAGAAGTCAAACATTTTTGTTTTGCCGTTTCTTTTTTCAAGAGCAAAAAAGTAAGAGGAGTTGGTCTCTCCTTCTTCGATCCATTTAGCTCTGGACCGAATATTAGCATCTTTTGCTAAATCTAAATAAAACTGATCAAGTTTTGTTTGCATTTCTTTTAATTCAACCTGTTCCAGTTCAAACATAACATTTTTAGAAAAGAGATAATTTATTCTCTCAATTAAATCCATCTCTTTGTTTTGTTTGTTTTTTAAGATTTTTACTTCTTTGTATTTGCAACAACTCAGTTTATATTTAAAATATTCCCACTTTTGTTTGTGATTACCATTTTCAATGTCTAAGAGTATTTCATTTATAAGCCTTATAACCTTTTCATTGAACTCCTCATCCTGCAAAAGGGTATTATTGAATTTCCAATATCCTCTTAGTTTGGACCGGCGTAATTCAACACATAGTTCAAGTGAAATGTGCATATGATCTGATAAAGGAGCAGAAGAAGAAACCTCTTTGAGAAGATAAAGAAAAATGGGCGGCACGGTGGCTGAGTGGATAGCACTCTCGCCTCTCAGCAAGAAGGTCCTGGGTTCAAATCCTGGTCGGACCAGGGCCTTTCTGAGTGGAGTTTGCATGTTCTTCCCGTGTCTGCGTAGGTTTCCTCCGGGTGCTCCGGTTTCCCCTACCACTAAAAATATGTACAATAGGTCTGGCATGTGCCTCCTGTACTGCCAATCCCAAAAATCACAATTGTAAACCACTTTGACACTCCGATGTGCAGTGAAAAGGCGGTATATAAATAAAGATTACTACTACTAAAATAAAGGCTCGATGATTGAATCAAAAACGAGTCAATTCTGGATCTTAAAGATAAACTTCTATTAGACCAAGTAAAATCCTTTTTATCAGGATATAAAAAAGCATCAGTGAGTGATAAATCAATAGTTTTGTGATGTTATTGCTCTGAAGTGTTTGAACAGTTTTTGGTGGAAATCTGTCTTTTGTTTCATTAAAATCACCAGATAAAATGATCTGAGAGTTTGCATATTTAACTTGTTTAGTTTGGATGATATTTGGGAGAAGAGTTGTTATGTGAATGTATATGACCATAGATGTTAAAAATAATACAAACTAAGTTATCTTGTTTGATTGTAATAACAATCCATCTCCCTGTATCTGCTGTAAATACTTCAATGACATCTTTAAATCTATCCAAACGGCAACTCCCGCAGAACGGTTTGAGCCATGACTGAAGTAAACATTATTAACCCACTGACTCTTCACATCAGCATTACTTCTTTTAAGAAATAAAAACAGTGCTTTCCTTTTAGTTGCATCATGAATACCCCTGACATTCAATGAAGTTACATCTAAAAATGATAATTGAACCATAAAGAACACACACAAAAAAGGAGCTCTCTTTCAAACAGTAGTTAAGACTTTAGACTTGCTTTAGATCAAAGAACGAGGAAGCAGCCAGATAACCATGAAATAATGTCTAGTTTGGAGACCAACAATCAACTTTCAATACAGTGCAAACAAAAATGATGCCAAGATATTTGCTTGCACGTTAATAGGCAGAGTACTGAAATATTAAATTCATTTTCAGGCAAAAAAGAAAGCACTTATAATATTATTTCAGTATTACCAAAACATGAGGATGCTGGAGAGTGGAATGAGGCTACATTTCATTCAAACACCAAATGCATAACTTCACATCCCAGTGGTTCATCTTCTTCCCATCGATCAGTGCAAAGGGACCGATGAGGGTGGCTCTCTTCCCTTCTTTCTCCACTAGGGGCCAGAGTTTCTCTCTTGCAAGTCTGTCCTCGGGAGACAGCGCTTGAGTGAGACGAAGCCTGTTGTCGTGGAGACATGTGCAGCCTTTGGCACACTTCCACACAGCATCAAGGATACGGCGGAGAGCAAACAGGAGGATGACTGGTCTGTTGGATCATCCTCAGGTAAACCCAGAGCAAACAGGATGATGACTGGTCTGTTGGATCTCTGTTCTCTTTGGGTCATCCTCAGGTAAACCCAGAGCAAACAGGATGATGACTGGTCTGTTGGATCCTTTGGGTCATCCATCCTCAGGTAAACCCAGAGCAGACAGGAGGATGACTGGTCTGTTGGATCCATCTGTTCTCTTTGGGTCATCCATCCTCAGGTAAACCTGCAAACCCGGAGCAACTTTCCCCAGGACGAGGATGACTTCTTTCCTCACATCTTCATTCACATTTCCTTTGAGGCCATGTAGTTTTAGCGACCATCTCCGACTGTACCGCTTGCACTCTTCCACCGCTGTTTTAAGAAGCCGGTTCTCCTCCTTCAGCTTCACAATCTCAGACTGAACATGTTTTATATTCTTCCCGTGACGGTCAACATCCTCCACAACCCGCGCCACCGTAGCTGTCAGATTTGCCATTTGTTTGGATGTATTTTCCATTGTTGCTTCAATGGCTGAAACTTTCTGAAAAGTTTCATCTTTCTTTCTGGACAGCTCCTTCAGTGACAGCTCCTTGATTGATCCCCGTAAGGCAATTCAACCCTCTGCACTGGACACAACATGCTTATGAGTTTTTAATTTGAATTACAACTTGGCCAGGGCCCTGGGTCCTGTCCCCATCATGCCTCCTCCTGCAGCTGACCTGGAGCAGACAGAGGACCCATGACCCCAGGGCCCTGGGTCCTCTGTCCCCATCATGCCTCCTCCTGCAGCTGACCTGGAGCAGACAGAGGACTCATGACCCCAGGGCCCTGGGTCCTCTGTCCCCTTCATGCCTCCTCCTGCAGCTGACCTGGAGCAGACAGAGGACCCATGACCCCAGGGCCCTGGGTCCTGTCCCCTTCATGCCTCCTCCTGCAGCTCCTCCAGGTCATGCCTCCTCCTGCAGCTGACCTGGAGCAGACAGAGGACCCATGACCCCAGCTGGGTCATGCCTCCTCCTGCAGCTCCTCCAGGTCATGCCTCCTCCTGCAGCTGACCTGGAGCAGACAGAGGGCAGGTAGTGCTGATTATAAATGGGAAAAGTCTCAATCAAAGATGGACACAGCACATTTATATTATGTCAAATAAACAAATACACATTTTTACCAAATATTGAAATAAAACAATTATTTCTAAAGTGAGTTGGATTTTAGTTTTAATTCCCCACTGTGGGACGAATAAAGGGGCTTAACCCACAGGTCCTGCTCTTCTCATTCTAGACTCTCCTCTTCCTCCTCTTCATGCTGCTCCTCTTCCTCCTCTTCTGGCTGCTCCTCTTCCTCCTCTTCTGGCTGCTCCTCTTCCTCCTCTTCTTGCTGCTCCTCTTCCTCCTCTTCATGCTGCTCCTCTTCCTCCTCTTCATGCTGCTCCTCTTCCTCCTCTTCTGGCTGCTCCTCTTCCTCCTCTTCTGGCTGCTCCTCTTCCTCCTCTTCTGGCTGCTCCTCTTCCTCCTCTTCATGCTGCTCCTCTTCCTCATCTTCTGGCTGCTCCTCTTCCTCATCTTCTTGCTGCTCCTCTTCCTCCTCTTCATGCTGCTCCTCTTCCTCCTCTTCATGCTGCTCCTCTTCCTCCTCTTCTTGCTGCTCCTCTTCCTCCTCTTCATGCTGCTCCTCTTCCCTCCTCTTTTTGCTGATCCTCTTCCTCCTCTTCATGCTGCTCCTCTTCCTCATCTTCTGGCTGCTCCTCTTCCTCATCTTCTTGCTGCTCCTCTTCCTCCTCTTCATGCTGCTCCTCTTCCTCCTCTTCATGCTGCTCCTCTTCCTCCTCTTCTTGCTGCTCCTCTTCCTCCTCTTCATGCTGCTCCTCTTCCTCCTCTTCTTGCTGCTCCTCTTCCTCCTCTTCATGCTGCTCCTCTTCCTCCTCTTCATGCTGCTCCTCTTCCTCCTCTTCTGGCTGCTCCTCTTCCTCCTCTTCTGGCTGCTCCTCTTCCTCCTCTTCTGGCTGCTCCTCTTCCTCCTCTTCATGCTGCTCCTCTTCCTCATCTTCTGGCTGCTCCTCTTCCTCATCTTCTTGCTGCTCCTCTTCCTCCTCTTCATGCTGCTCCTCTTCCTCCTCTTCATGCTGCTCCTCTTCCTCCTCTTCTTGCTGCTCCTCTTCCTCCTCTTCATGCTGCTCCTCTTCCTCCTCTTCTTGCTGCTCCTCTTCCTCCTCTTCATGCTGCTCCTCTTCCTCATCTTCTGGCTGCTCCTCTTCCTCATCTTCTTGCTGCTCCTCTTCCTCCTCTTCATGCTGCTCCTCTTCCTCCTCTTCATGCTGCTCCTCTTCCTCCTCTTCTTGCTGCTCCTCTTCCTCCTCTTCATGCTGCTCCTCTTCCTCCTCTTCTTGCTGCTCCTCTTCCTCCTCTTCATGCTGCTCCTCTTCCTCATCTTCTTGCTGCTCCTCTTCCTCCTCTTCTTGCTGCTCCTCTTCCTCCTCTTCATGCTGCTCCTCTTCCTCCTCTTCTTGCTGCTCCTCTTCCTCCTCTTCATGCTGCTCCTCTTCCTCCTCTTCTTGCTGCTCCTCTTCCTCCTCTTCATGCTGCTCCTCTTCCTCCTCTTCATTCTGCTCCTCTTCCTCATCTTCTTGCTGCTCCTCTTCCTCATCTTCTTGCTGCTCCTCTTCCTCATCTTCTTGCTGCTCCTCTTCCTCCTCTTCTGGCTGCTCCTCTTCCTCCTCTTCATGCTGCTCCTCTTCCTCCTCTTCTGGCTGCTCCTCTTCCTCCTCTTCATTCTGCTCCTCTTCCTCATCTTCTTGCTGCTCCTCTTCCTGATCTTCTTGCTGCTCCTCTTCCTCCTCTTCTTGCTGCTCCTCTTCATCCTCTTCTTGCTGCTCCTCTTCCTCCTCTTCTTGCTGCTCCTCTTCCTCCTCTTCTTGCTGCTCCTCTTCCTCCTCTTCTTGCTGCTCCTCTTCCTCCTCTTCTTGCTGCTCCTCTTCCTCCTCTTCATGCTGCTCCTCTTCCTCATCTTCTTGCTGCTCCTCTTCCTCATCTTCATGCTGCTCCTCTTCATGCTGCTCCTCTTCTTCCTCATCTTCATGCTGCTCCTCTTCCTCATCTTCTTGCTGCTCCTCTTCCTCATCTTCATGCTGCTCCTCTTCCTCCTCTTCTTGCTGCTCCTCTCCCTCATCTTCTTGCTGCTCCTCTTCCTCCTCTTCTTGCTGCTCCTCTTCCTCCTCTTCATGCTGCTCCTCTTCCTCCTCTTCTTGTTGCTCCTCTTCCTCCTCTTCTTGTTGCTCCTCTTCCTCCTCTTCATGCTGCTCCTCTTCCTCATCTTCTTGCTGCTCCTCTTCCTCCTCTTCTTGCTGCTCCTCTTCCTCATCTTCATGCTGCTCCTCTTCCTCATCTTCTTGCTGCTCCTCTTCCTCCTCTTCTTGCTGCTCCTCTTCCTCCTCTTCTTGCTGCTCCTCTCCCTCATCTTCTTGCTGCTCCTCTTCCTCCTCTTCTTGCTGCTCCTCTTCCTCATCTTCATGCTGCTCCTCTTCCTCATCTTCATGCTGCTCCTCTTCCTCCTCTTCTTGCTGCGCCTCTTCCTCCTCTTCTTGCTGCTCCTCTTCCTCATCTTCTTGCTGCTCCTCTTCCTCATCTTCATGCTGCTCCTCTTCCTCATCTTCTTGCTGCTCCTCTTCCTCATCTTCATGCTGCTCCTCTTCCTCCTCTTCTTGCTGCTCCTCTCCCTCATCTTCTTGCTGCTCCTCTTCCTCCTCTTCTTGCTGCTCCTCTTCCTCCTCTTCATGCTGCTCCTCTTCCTCCTCTTCTTGTTGCTCCTCTTCCTCCTCTTCTTGTTGCTCCTCTTCCTCCTCTTCATGCTGCTCCTCTTCCTCATCTTCTTGCTGCTCCTCTTCCTCCTCTTCTTGCTGCTCCTCTTCCTCATCTTCATGCTGCTCCTCTTCCTCATCTTCTTGCTGCTCCTCTTCCTCCTCTTCTTGCTGCTCCTCTTCCTCCTCTTCTTGCTGCTCCTCTCCCTCATCTTCATGCTGCTCCTCTTCCTCCTCTTCTTGCTGCTCCTCTTCCTCCTCTTCATGCTGCTCCTCTTCCTCCTCTTCTTGTTGCTCCTCTTCCTCCTCTTCTTGTTGCTCCTCTTCCTCCTCTTCATGCTGCTCCTCTTCCTCATCTTCTTGCTGCTCCTCTTCCTCCTCTTCTTGCTGCTCCTCTTCCTCATCTTCATGCTGCTCCTCTTCCTCATCTTCTCTTGCTGCTCCTCTTCCTCTCTTCTTGCTGCTCCTCTTCCTCCTCTTCTTGCTGCTCCTCTCCCTCTCTTCTTGCTGCTCCTCTTCCTCATCTTCTTGCTGCTCCTCTTCCTCATCTTCATGCTGCTCCTCTTCCTCATCTTCTTGCTGCTCCTCTTCCTCATCTTCATGCTGCTCCTCTTCCTCCTCTTCTTGCTGCTCCTCTCCCTCATCTTCTTGCTGCTCCTCTTCCTCCTCTTCTTGCTGCTCCTCTTCCTCCTCTTCATGCTGCTCCTCTTCCTCCTCTTCTTGTTGCTCCTCTTCCTCCTCTTCTTGTTGCTCCTCTTCCTCCTCTTCATGCTGCTCCTCTTCCTCATCTTCTTGCTGCTCCTCTTCCTCCTCTTCTTGCTGCTCCTCTTCCTCCTCTTCATGCTGCTCCTCTTCCTCATCTTCTTGCTGCTCCTCTTCCTCGTCTTCTTGCTGCTCCTCTTCCTCCTCTTCTTGCTGCTCCTCTCCCTCATCTTCTTGCTGCTCCTCTTCCTCCTCTTCTTGCTGCTCCTCTTCCTCATCTTCATGCTGCTCCTCTTCCTCATCTTCATGCTGCTCCTCTTCCTCCTCTTCTTGCTGCTCCTCTTCCTCCTCTTCTTGCTGCTCCTCTTCCTCATCTTCTTGCTGCTCCTCCTCCTCCTCTTCTTGCTGCTCCTCTTCCTCATCTTCTTGCTGCTCCTCTTCCTCATCTTCTTGCTGCTCCTCTTCCTCCTCTTCTTGCTGCTCCTCTTCCTCCTCTTCTTGCTGCTCCTCCTCCTCTTCTTGCTGCTCCTCCTCCTCATCTTCTTGCTGCTCCTCTTCCCTCTTCTCTCTGCTGCTCCTCTCCTCCTCTTCTTGCTGCTCCTCTTCCTCCTCTTCTTGCTGCTCCTCTTCCTCCTCTTCTTGCTGCTCCTCTTCCTCCTCTTCTTGCTGCTCCTCTTCCTCCTCTTCTTGCTGCTCCTCTTCCTCCTCTTCATGCTGCTCCTCTTCCTCATCTTCTTGCTGCTCCTCTTCCTCATCTTCATGCTGCTCCTCTTCCTCCTCTTCATCTGCTCCTCTTCCTCATCTTCTTGCTGCTCCTCTTCCTCATCTTCATGCTGCTCCTCTTCCTCCTCTTCTTGCTGCTCCTCTCCTCTCTTCTTGCTGCTCCTCTTCCTCCTCTCTCTTGCTGCTCCTCTTCCTCCTCTTCTTGCTGCTCCTCTTCCTCTCCTCTCTTCTGCTGCTCCTCTTCCTCTCTCTCCTGCTGCTCCTCCTTCCTCTCTCTTCTGCTGCTCCTCTTCCTCTCTTTCTCTGCTGCTCCTCTCCTCTCTCTCTTGCTGCTCCTCTTCCTCTCTCTCTTGCTGCTCCTCTTCCTCCTCTTCTTGCTGCTCCTCTTCCTCTCTTCTGCTGCTCCTCTTCCTCTCTTCTGCTGCTCCTCTTCCTCCTCTTCTTGCTGCTCCTCTTCCTCCTCTTCTGCTGCTCCTCTTCCTCCTCTCTCTGCTGCTCCTCTTCCTCTCTCTCTGCTGCTCTCTCTCTTCCTCTCTTCTGCTGCTCCTCTTCCTCCTCTTCATGCTGCTCCTCTTCCTCCTCTCTCTGCTGCTCCTCTTCCTCCTCTCTGCTGCTCCTCTTCCTCCTCTTCATGCTGCTCCTCTTCCTCCTCTTCTTGCTGCTCCTCTTCCTCCTCTTCATGCTGCTCCTCTTCCTCTCTTCTTGCTGCTCCTCTTCCTCTCTCTTCCTGCTGCTCCTCTTCCTCTCTCTCTCCTGCTGCTCCTCTTCCTCTCTCTTCTTGCTGCTCCTCTTCCTCTCTTCTTGCTGCTCCTCTTCCTCCTCTTCTCTGCTGCTCCTCTTCCTCTCTCTCTGCTGCTCCTCTCTTCCTCTCTCTCTCCTGCTGCTCCTCTTCCTCTCTCTTCTGCTGCTCCTCTTCTCTCTCTCTGCTGCTCCTCTTCCTCTCTTCTGCTGCTCCTCTTCCTCTCTCTCTGCTGCTCCTCTTCCTCTCTCTTCTGCTGCTCCTCTTCCTCTCTCTCCTCTTCTGCTGCTCCTCTTGCCTCTCTCTCTCTTCTGCTCTCTCTTCCTCTCTCTCTCTGCTGCTCCTCTTCCTCCTCTCTCTGCTGCTCCTCTTCCTCTCTTCTTGCTGCTCCTCTTCCTCTCTCTCTGCTGCTCCTCTTCCTCTCTCTCTCCTGCTGCTCCTCTTCCTCTCTCTCTCTGCTGCTCCTCTTCCTCTCTCTCTCTGCTGCTCCTCTTCCTCTCTCTCTCTGCTGCCTCTTCCTCTCTCTCTCCTGCTGCTCCTCTTCCTCTCTCTCTCTCTGCTGCTCCTCTTCCTCTCTCTCTCTGCTGCTCCTCTTCCTCTCTCTCTCTGCTGCTCCTCTTCCTCTCTTCTCTGCTGCTCCTCTTCCTCTCTCTTCCTGCTGCTCCTCTTCCTCTCTCTTCTGCTGCTCCTCTTCCTCCTCTCTCTGCTGCTCCTCTCTCCTCTCTCTCCTGCTGCTCCTCTTCCTCTCTCTCTCTGCTGCTCCTCTTCCTCTCTCTCTGCTGCTCCTCTTCCTCTCTCTCCTGCTGCTCCTCTTCCTCTCTCTCTCTGCTGCTCCTCTTCCTCTCTTCTGCTGCTCCTCTTCCTCTCTCTTCTTGCTGCTCCTCTTCCTCTCTCTCTCTGCTGCTCCTCTTCCTCTCTCTCTCTGCTGCTCCTCTTCCTCTCTCTCTTGCTGCTCCTCTTCCTCTCTCTCTCTGCTGCTCCTCTTCCTCTCTCTTCCTGCTGCTCCTCTTCCTCTCTCTCTGCTGCTGCTCCTCTTCCTCTCTCTTCTGCTGCTCCTCTTCCTCTCTCTCCTGCTGCTCCTCTTCCTCTCTCTCTCTGCTGCTCCTCTTCCTCTCTCTCTGCTGCTCCTCTTCCTCTCTCTCTCTGCTGCTCCTCTTCCTCTCTTCTCTGCTGCTCCTCTTCCTCTCTCTCTCCTGCTGCTGCTCTTCCTCTCTCTCTGCTGCTCTCCTCTTCCTCTCTCTCTCCTGCTGCTCCTCTTCCTCTCTCTCTGCTGCTCCTCTTCCTCTCTCTCCTGCTGCTCCTCTTCCTCTCTTCTCCTGCTGCTCCTCTTCCTCTCTCTCCTGCTGCTCCTCTTCTCTCTCTTTCTCTCTTCTCTGCTGCTCCTCTTCCTCTCTCTCCTGCTGCTCCTCTTCCTCTCTCTCTGCTGCTCTCTTCTCTCTCTCTCTGCTGCTCCTCTTCCTCTCTCTCTCCTGCTGCTCCTCTTCCTCTTCTCTGCTGCTCCTCTTCCTCTCTCTCTGCTGCTGCTCCTCTTCCTCTCTCTCTGCTGCTCCTCTTCCTCTCTCTCCTGCTGCTCTCTTCCTCTCTCTCTCTGCTGCTCCTCTTCCTCTCTCTCTCTGCTGCTCCTCTTCCTCTCTCTCTCTGCTGCTCCTCTTCCTCTCTCTCTGCTGCTCCTCTTCCTCTCTCTCCTGCTGCTCCTCTCTTCCTCTCTCTCTTGCTGCTCCTCTTCCTCTCTCTCTCTGCTCCTCTTCCTCTCTCTCTCTGCTGCTCCTCTTCCTCTCTCTCTGCTGCTCCTCTTCCTCTCTCTCTCTGCTGCTCTCTCCTCTTCTCTCTCTCTCCTGCTGCTCCTCTTCCTCTCTCTCCTGCTGCTCCTCTTCTCTCTCTCCTCTCCTGCTGCTCCTCTTCCTCTCTCTCCTGCTGCTCCTCTTCCTCTCTCTCCTGCTGCTCCTCTTCCTCTCTCTCCTGCTGCTCCTCTTCCTCCTCTTCTTGCTGCTCCTCTCCTCTCTCTCTGCTGCTCCTCTTCCTCTTCCTCTCTCTCTGCTGCTCCTCTTCCTCTCTCTCTCTGCTGCTCCTCTTCCTCTCTCTCTCTGCTGCTCCTCTTCCTCTCTCTCCTGCTGCTCCTCTTCCTCTCTCTCTGCTGCTCCTCTTCTCTCTCTCTCCTGCTGCTCCTCTTCCTCTCTCTCCTGCTGCTCCTCTTCCTCTCTCTCTGCTGTCCTGCTCCTCTCTCTCTGCTGCTCTCTCCTCTCTCTCTGCTGCTCCTCTTCCTCTCTCTCTCTGCTGCTCCTCTTCCTCTCTCTCTGCTGCTCCTCTTCCTCTCTCTTCTGCTGCTCCTCTTCCTCTCTTCTCTCTCTCCTCTGCTCCTCTTCCTCTCTCTCTGCTGCTCCTCTTCCTCTCTCTCTCTGCTGCTCCTCTTCCTCTCTCTCCTGCTGCTCCTCTTCCTCTCTCTCTCTGCTGCTCCTCTTCCTCCTCTTCCTCTCTCTCCTGCTGCTCCTCTTCCTCTCTCTCCTGCTGCTCCTCTTCCTCTCTCTCTGCTGCTCCTCTTCCTCTCTCTGCTGCTGCTCCTCTTCCTCTCTCTCTGCTGCTCCTCTTCCTCCTCTTCCTCTCTCTCTGCTGCTCCTCTTCCTCTCTCTCTCTGCTGCTCCTCTTCTCTCTCTTCCTCTCTCCTCTTCCTCTCTCTTCCTCTCTCTCTGCTGCTCCTCTTCCTCTCTCTCTCCTCCTCCTCTTCCTCTCTCTCCTGCTGCTCCTCTTCCTCTCTCTCCTCCTCCTCCTCTTTCTCTCTCTCCTGCTGCTCCTCTCTCTCCTGCTGCTCCTCTTCCTCTCTCTCCTGCTGCTCCTCTCTCTCCTGCTGCTCCCTCGTCACCACTTCTCACAAACACACAGCCTCCCGCGCTCTAACTGCTACAAATGCTAAACAGCGAGAGAGCATTTCAGGTTTTTCTCCTTCGCAGCCCTGACAGGATTCTACCTTCAGAAGACGTGTGTGTGTGTGTGTGTGTGTCTGTGTGCGTGTGTGTGTGTGTGTGTGTGTGTGTGTGTGTGTGTGTGTGTGTGTGTGTGTGTGTGTGTGTGTGTGTGTGTCTGTGTGCGTGTGTGTGTGTGTGTGTGTCACCGGATCAGCCTGCACACACACACACATACTTTTGGCGTGTTGCTGTCAGCTCCCGTTTTATCCACTCCTGCCTGCTGTTTTTGTGTGTGTTTGTGTGTGTTTGTGTGTGTTTGTGTGTGTTTGTGTGTGTGAGACCAGAGAGAGATAGTAGAGACAGAGGAGAGAGAGAGACCAGAGAGAGAGACCCGATTGAGAGACTAGAGAAAGACCAGAGAGACGGAGAGATGAGAAAGAGATACTAGAGAGAGACCAGAAAGAGATACCAGAGAGAGACCAGAAAGAGATACCAGAGAGAGACCAGAAAGAGATACTAGAGAGAGACCAGAAAGAGATACTAGAGAGAGACCAGAAAGAGATACTAGAGAGAGACCAGAAAGAGATACCAGAGAGAGACCAGAAAGAGATACCAGAGAGAGAGAAGAGAGGGACCAGAGAGAGACCAGAAAGAGATACCAGAGAGAGACCAGAAAGAGATACTAGAGAGAGACCAGAAAGAGATACTAGAGAGAGACCAGAAAGAGATACTAGAGAGAGACCAGAAAGAGATACTAGAGAGAGACCAGAAAGAGTGTCTGTCTGTGTGTGCGTGATCCTTCCTGTGTCTGTGTGCACTTGTTTTCAACTCCTGGTGGGTTCCATAACCTGAGATTCCACTCACGTCATGGGGACTGGTTTTACGTGGTGGGGCCCGAACACCGGACCCCACTGGTCCAAGCTTAATAATCAATGGGTAATGCTTTTCTAACGGTCCTTATGCAGTCTCTGTAAAAATATGGAAAGGACCCCTGGAGGTTTACTTTCCTGAAAAAAGTGTGTTATGTGTCGGAACCCTGGTGGTGGGTTGCGGGATATCAAGGAGGGGCACACTGGGGCAATTTCAGTCCAGCAGGCTGGAGCCAATCATGGAGCAGCACAACAGAGGAAATCAGGTGTCAGGCTAGAAAAAGGTGCAAGTGTGTGGTTCATTAGGCTGCAAGAAATCATGGAGGAGCACACTGAAGCGCACGCTTACAAACCACTGGTAAGTGCTGACTACAAGTCATGACTTCAAATTGTTATATAGAATGATTACAAATTATTTGTTGTTTGTGCAGCTTAGTCAAGAGTCCCTAATTGATGAAGTCGACTCAGATTCTGACGATTTAACTGTCAAGAAGAAACCTGTAAAAAAGTATGGAAAAAGAAAAATCAAAAACACTTTTCTTCAAGACTCGGAA